AGTTTGTGCATGTGTTTGCGATATGGGACTGTGTGTGTATGACTGTGTCTGTGTGTGCGCGCATGTGCCATCATCATGTTGCCATGGCCTCATTCCAATCGTCCCGTTTCTCACCCTGCTCGCCAGGCTCACAGAAGAACCCTGCAGCCAGATAACACTTACTGGAAATGTCACACTTGTCACAGGCACGCCGCAAGCAGGCCAGAATTAAGCTGTAGTCCCAGTATCAATGGCATAATTACACCTCTCCATGGGTCCGGAGGGAAACACTGTCCTATGCTGCAGTCGCTGCACATTAAAAACAGACCTACTGGAGAGGCACAGGCAGGCATGCTTGCGACCGTGAGACATAGTCATGTTGAATGTTCAAAAAGATGCTGAGGAGAGTGACTTAAACGATTCATCTAAACCGCACTGCGCCTCTTGGCTATGACAAACACACAAAGGTACACACACAGACAGACACAGTCAAGGAGGGAGCAAGGAGAGCGCAAACAGGGAGGAGCACAGGAGAAAATGAGGGCTTGAGGTTAGAGGAGAGAAGGGTGTGGTTACAGAAAGTGTGATGATGAGGGATGGGGAATGACTTGATGTGGTAAATAATTAAACAAAATGGACTTTCACACCTGGAGCCCAAGAACATAATAAGAATGTAGGAGTGTGTCCTTTCATTGTCCTTCCTGTGTGACAGACATGGTGCGTTGGTGTTATTTAAGTCTGGATATTTTTAACTTCCCTTACGCATGGCATGACATTTTCACAACCAATAAAAAGTAGCTTCTCTAAACATTGGATGACTGCTGCTAGGATTCTAGTTCTTCCAATTATGACATATTGCAACTTCATAACAACTTTGTATTAATGGTATAAGGTACAGCAGTAAAAATGGGATCTAGTGTTTGGTAGTTAGCCTAGATTATCTATGCTAGAAAGTTTTGATACCTTGCTGATTCATCATATCCTCCTACTTCATTCTGGCCTATGTGGCAGTGTAACATTGCATGTAGCTCAGTTGGTAAAGCATGGTGCTTGCAACGCCAGGATAGTGGGTTCTATTCCAGAGACCACCCATACGTAAAGAAATGTATGCACGCATGACTAAGTTTCTTTGGATAAAAGCGCCTGCTAAATGGCATATGGTCATTTGAGCACCAACGGGAAGTTCAACGGAGCACGTAAATTTGGGTGTCAAAGCTAGTGTATATTTTTGAGAAATTAAGGCATATTCATTTTTCCATCCTAAAAATTAGGAATAAGCAAAGGCTTTGATTTCTGGTCTAATAGATGGAAAATTGGTCTTAGAAAACACCAGAGAAAGTCTTAAAAAGATCATAGAAAACAGTACCAGTCAAAAGTTTAGACACACCCACTCATTCCAGGGTTTTTCTTTATTTTTACTTTCTACGTTGTAGAATAATAGTGAAGACATCAAAACTATGAAATAACACATATGGAAGAATCATGTAGTAACCAAAAAAGTGTTAAACAAATCAAAATATATGTTATATTTGAGATTCTTCAAAGTATCCACCCTTTGCCTTGATGACAGCTTTGCACATTATTGGCATTCTCTCAACCAGCTTCATGAGGTAGTCACCTGGAATGAATTTCAATTAACAGGTGTGCCTTCTTAAAAGTTAATTTGTGGAATTTCTTTCCTTCTTAATGCGTTGGAGCCAATCAGTTGTGTTGTGACAAGGTAGGGGTGGTATACAGAAGATAGCCCTATTTAGAAAAAGACCAAGTCCATATTATGGCAAGAACAGCTCAAATAAGCAAAGAGAAACGACAGTCCATCATTACTTTAAGACATGAAGGTCAGTCAATCTGGAACATTTCAAGAATTTAAAAGTTTCTTCAAGTGCAGTCGCAAAAACCATCAAGCGCTATGATGAAACTGGCTCTCATGAGGACCGCCACAGGAATGGAAGACCCCGAGTTACCTCTGCTGCAGAGGATAAGTTCATTAGAGTTTACCAGCCTCAGAAATTGCAGCCCAAATAAATGCTTCAGAGTTCAAGTAACAGACACATCTCAACATCAACTGTTCAGAGGAGACTGTGTGAATCAGGCCTTCATGGTCGAATTGCTGTAAAGAAACCACTACTAAAGGACACCAATAAGAAGAAGAGACTTGCTTGGGCCAAGAAACACGAGTAATGGACATTAGATCGGTGTAAATCTGTCCTTTGGTCTGATGAGTCCAAATTTGAGATTTGCGGTTCAAACCGCCGTGTCTTTGTGAGAGGCAGAGTAGGTGAACAGATGGTCTCCGCATGTGTGGTTCCCACCATGAAGCATGGAGGAGGAGGTGTTATGGTGCTTTGCTGGTGACACCGTCAGTGATTTATTTAGAATTCAAGGCACACTTAACCAGCATGGCTATCACAGCATTCTACAGCGACACGCCATCCCATCTGGTTTGCGCTTAGTGGGACTATGATTTGTTTTTCAACAGGACAATGACCCAACACACCTCCAGGCTGTGTAAGGACTATTTGACCAAGAAGGAGAGTGATGGAGTGCTGCATCAGATGACCTGGCCTCAACAATCACCCGACCTCAACACAATAGAGATGGTTTGGGATGAGTTGGACCGTAGAGTGAAGGAAAAGCAGCCAACAAGTGCTCAGCATATGTGGGAACTCCTTCAAGACTGTTGGAAAAGCATTCCAGGTGAAGCTGGTTGAGAGAATGCCAAGAGTGTGCAAAGCTGTCATCAAGGCAAAGGGTGGCTACTTTGAAGAATCTCAAATATAAAATATATTTTGTATTGTTTAACACTTTTTTGGTTACTACATGATTCCATGTGTTATTTCATAGTTTTGATGTCTTCACTATTATTCTACAATGTAGAAAATAGTAAAAATAAAGAAAAACCCTTGAATGAGTAGGTGTATCCAAACTTTTGACTGGTACTGTATATACACACACACACACATTTTAGTCATTTAGCAGACACTCTTATCCAGAGCGACTTAAAAAGGAGCAATTAGGGTTGCCTTGCTTATTTTTCACGTAGTCGGCTCGGGGATTCGAACCAGCAACCTTTCGGTTACTGGCCCAACGCTCTTAACCACTAGGCTACCTGCTGCCGACAGCATAGGTCCAAACTACAGTAGCCTATACTCCTCATCAGGAGTCCCATAACCGGATACCAGGCCCTAAACTCCAGCAGTAATGAACAGTAAACAGAGCTGACAGACAGCTGCTGCCTGATCAGCCTGGAAGACAAACAGCCGTTATGAGTGTACTATCAGATAGCTGACAGTCACAGGCCTTTCCACTCACTTCCTGATGATGAGTGATATGGCCTTCTGCTGAGACAACAATATGATTATTCCTCGAGGAAGACACAGTTTATGTTTACTGATCGATAAATATGGAAATCAGTGCAAAAGAGACAGGGATCAAAGCATTTTAAAGAAGGTTATACTTTTTCAGCGATATGTTTGTGGAAAAGGTTTAGGCCTTATTATGAGAGTGAAGTACATTTGAAAATAGACAAATCCTTGAGGCTATGACCAGAACATCTCGTGTTAGTAGTCCAGCCAGGAGCTTACCTCTACGGGTATTTAGGTTAAATTGGGTATTATCAGCTTGTCACAGGCTCTTTTCCGTTTGAATCAAGGTTATTTACAAGTCAAATACAGTATTTGTAGTCTGGAATGACTGGCATTACTACCACACAACAACAGTACTTGCGAGAACAGCACAGTCACCAAACCGCTAAATCATCAACTTGAATGAAGACATATGAAGACATAATTACCTAATGTGTTGTATCAATTACACATTACACAGCTGAGCAGGGCCAGGCCCAGGCCTTCCACTGAGCAAACACATGGAAATGGCAACATGGATATGCAGTAAGAACATAAACGGCAGGAATGGTCTCTGCCCGTTACATCACAAACACATGGGCTGTCTCCTGTTTCCATTAATAACTGGTCACCAACCTCAGAAACAACCACTCCTCCCCTTTCCATTCCCATCTCTTCCTGCCAGCTCCATCTCTATTCAATGACAGGGAAGTGCCATATATTATACAACAAAAGCTGTTCTAAAGGTACTGAACATTAGCCTAGAACCTTTGTAACACAAACCATTTTCAATCGAAGAGACTCAAGGCCAATGAAATTATAAATTCAATCTAGGCATGTAACGTACTTTAAGGACTTCCTAGATTTCTTCTTATGCAAATCAAAGCTGGTGCAGTGTAACGGGTCCACTTGATCGTTATGAACTACTATCACTCCTTGAAGAGAAGATCACAAACAAACAGTAAAGGAGCAAAGAACAAGCTTGATTATCCAACACAATGAATACAGGGTTACAGTAGGACTAGGTACATGTAAGGGCCTTATTTGAGTGAGTCATAAAGATCTGAGAGCGCTGCAGAGATTTAACTCCAACATTCTGCGGAATCCCCCCCACGACAAAATACCAGAAGTACAACCTTTAGAACTGAACCAGCAACCGTGGCCAAAAAATGAGGGAGTGGAAGTTATTTTCAGAAACATACGAGCCTAGTAGGAGGCGATACACTGTGTTCAAGTTCCGCTCTCTTGTCATATTGATGTGTTTGAAAACAAATATGCATCCGGCAAGCTCAGTACCTCTTAAAATTTGAATGGGAAAAAGAGCCTTCAAAACACCCAACCCAAATGCTGAACAGAAAACCAAACTCAGCCAGGCTGGTTTCACATAGCCAAGGAATTCCACACAAATTACATAGGCCTACCCTTGATGGTTTTGCAATTGCTTGTGGCCCTGCCCTAGCTTTAAAAGCAGAGGAACCTTGGTCATGAAATGATGACCGGGAGGAGAAGCATGCATGCACAAACAACAAAGGCGAGGGAATTTGGTGAAACAAACATAGCACGCCTAATGAATTCAATAGAGTTCAGAGAACAAAAACACTGAATGCTTCTGAGGGAGCTGGCCTTATTCACTGCCTGTGTTCGCTCTCTGGCCAGGGACAAACACAGTGACACACACGCTCGACCTGGTTGGGTGTGACTGGAGCTGCGGTTGAAAGGAGTGAGGGCAGGAGACTGGTAATACCTAGAGACCAAAGGACTAGGATATGACAGAGACACTGCTGCACTGCCAAGTATGTAGCCTAGATCTCAGGTAAATGCCAATAAACACTGATCTCCATCTGGGGGGGGGGGGGGGGGGGGGGGGGTGTATTGATTAATGAAAGGAAATGGTATTGATCCCGACCCTGGTCACAAAAACACCAACACCAACATCTCCATGCTGCAAACCATGTTGAAGGCTGGTGCTATGAACAGCAGCTTCTGCCTTGTTCAATCTTACTACTAAAGATGCAATAAATCCTGTAGAGTTAGGAGAATTTCATGTTGAATATCGCACATTTCAGCAACCGGGACCTGTTCTATCCCTTCCTTCTTTGGGACAGAGACAGGGCTGTTTGGAATGAGGCCTTACATTAACCTGTGTTTAAAGAAAGGCCTAGACACCAAACGAGGACAGATAAAACAGGCCTACTTAGTTAGACTAGGATCCAGGGGTAAACCGGACTATAATAGAAGGCCCATTCAGTCCCATAATTTAGAGAGGTGGGTTTTCCAAGTAAAATCCTGGGGATCAAGTAACAGCTTGATGAGATATGTATGCTTCAAGCACAGACTAACCCAATAAAGCACTAGAAAACAAATAACATGCTTTTGCGGGACAGTGGTCCAACCAAAACACTAATACACTAATACCAACCAAAACTAAATACAAGTGCCACACAAACACTAAACAATATAATCTACGGAGGCATACCGTAATGAGATGGACAGCCCTAAATTAGAAGCTTAGCCTAGTCCATTCATACGCATGCACCCACACAATTTGTTTAATTATACTAAATGACAAAGCTTGAACTGAGAATTTAAATAATGAGTGTTACATAATCAGTGTAAAAAGGGCTCTGTTGATGTTCACTTTATGTATAACATAAGTCCGCTGTTTGGCATCATGTCTCACCTTTTTGCCAGTGGAGCCTGTCTTGGTCAGGCAGGAGCGTCCCAGGGACTGGTACCCCCCGAGGACCTCGATATCCTCCACGGCAGGGTAGCGCTTTTTCAGCAGTGAGCCCAACTGGGCGTAGGGGGCCTGGGGTGGCGTGGAGGATGACTGGGCCCCTCCGGAGGGCTCCTGGGGCTCTGACTTACGTTTAGGCACCACAGTGAAGGTATTCCCCTTCCGCCTCTGCACCACTGGAGTGGGGCTGGGGGCAACAGGCTGCAAGGGGTCCACGTCTATGTCATCTATGTTGGTGACAGGTAGCTGGTCAGCAGGGGCTTCCTCTGGAGGAGGCGACTGGACAGAGGGGACTGGGAAGGGTACTGGGGGTGGAGGGGAGGGGGTCGTGGTGATGGTGGGTGGAGGTGGGTCTGGTTTGGTTGGCCTGGCTGCCCTCACCTCCTCCCGTTCTTCCTCTTTCCTCTTGGAGGCTGCTGGGGTGGGTGGAAGGGTGACAGGGGTTGGCACTCCTGGAGTGGGCATCTCTGCCACTCTCTGGGAGGGAGGAGACTTGATGGGGCTGGAGGGGGCCGTGCTGCCCGGGGAGGAGGCGGACCTGTGGCGTTTGGGGAAGACTGTGAAGGAGTTGCGGGACTGGAGACGCAGGTTGGCAAGGGCACGGGCCTGAATGTCCCCGACAGGCAGCAGAGAGAGATCAGGGCGGGGTGAGGGGCGGATCTCGAATCCAGGCGATGGGGGAGACATCGGGGGCGTGGTGGGACTGGCGGGTGACTCGGCACGGCTGGTCTCTGGAGAGAATGGCACCTTGGGTTTGGAGGGCACCTCTGTGCTCTCCCAGTCTCTCTCTCGGAAAGGCTTGGTCTGGGACCCCTCTGCCTCCTCTCTGGGGTTGAACACTGAACTGTGGCCCCCACTCACCTCAAAATGCTGGCGGTAGGAAGACACTGACTGAGAGGGTCCGGCAGAGCGCGTGGTGCTGTCAGGCTCACAGAGAGGGGGCTGTGGCTTTGGTTTGGAAGACTGGGAGCTCTGGAAGACTGAGGATGACAACTGTGTGTTGCCTAGGGTGCGGACTGGTGAGCTAGGCTGGGCTTGTGACTTGTATTTTGGCACCAGATCTGGCTGTGGCTTGGGTCGTTGTCTTGGCCTGCTTGAACTGGTCTCCAAGTCCAGGAGGTTCTCTGTGCTGCGAGACTTGGGTTGCAGTTTTCCGTAGTTGCTGTCGAATTTCTGCAGCATTCGGCTCACCCTACCATGACCCTCTCCTGTCTCGAATGCGGCCTCGTGACCAGGACGACCCAGCGTGCTCAAATTCTCCTCGCTCCGGCTTAGTGCGGTGTCATAAATGACCACCTCCTTCGCCCGTATCTCGGTAACCCCACTGCCTCTCCGGTCCAAGAGGTCGTTGAGGGAGCTGTAACTGCTCAACCCATTCTGCTGCAGATAAGACTCGCTTTTTATTCCACTCGCCTCCGGAAAGTAATCCGGATCGGATTCTATGATAATGATATTCTCAGCGCGTATAGTCCGAATTCCAGGAACACTGCCATACAATTCCAGTATGTGCTGAACCGGACGAGTGGCGCTCTCCCTGTCCTGTTGTTTCTTTCGCTCCTTCTCCAGTTTGATAAAGGGGTTCTCCTGCAATGGGCCTAGACTGTCCTGCAGAACCAGGCTTTCCTGTCCCTCGCCATCACTTACAGTTTTCTCCGAGTCATAAGGGTCGGTGGCAGTCCAGGGGTCTTTGTTTGTTTTCCCCGGCGAGAGCTCTGGGGAGGTGGGGGCGCTGCCACGCTTGCCTGCAAAATGCTGGCTCGCTGGAGTGATGGTGTAGTTCCGACCTGAATTAGCGCTGGTTCCATTGTCTGTTTTTGGGGCGCTGCTGTTTCCCGTTACTTCGCCATTAACCCGCGATGAGGTCGTGCCTGGGCAAGGCTCAGCTGCACCTGCTCCAGACGCGCCGCCCTTTGCTTTCCTCCGCTCGAGAATCTCTCGTTTCCAGGCCGGCATCCTCGGGCTCTCCTGCCCAGCCTCCTGGCGGAGCACACGGACTTCTCCTCCACCAGACATTTTAGGGAGAAATTGAATATCTCCGGGGTTTGGGAGATGGTGTTCCCCGACTGGGACGGAACGCTGTATCCTCTGTCTGTCGCTGTACCTGCAGCGCCGATTACAGTATATACACATACATCCCCACCGTCTCTTTCAGTCTTTCTACGTTCTTCTCCCTCCCTCCCTCCGCGACTCCTGGCCCGCCCTCTGCACCTGTAAACCTACAACGTCATCCTTCAGTCTTCAGAACTGCGCCCTAAGAAGCAACCTCATTTGCTCATTTCGATTTAGAATACACCCCTTTCACAAATCCCTCCTTTTTCTATTGTTGAGTGGGCAAAGAAAACTGTCAGTCAAGGAAACTCAGCTCAGCCCCCTTTTACTGCTTAACCCTTTCAGTGAATATCTTTTATTCTAAGATCCCGTATCGACCACTACATTTGTTTTTAAAATAATAACATTATGCATTTCATTTAATTTAATTAATGAACTAAACATGGAAATTATACCAATAAATGGTTTTAAAAGATGAAAGGCTATGTAAAGATAGTGTTTGTGAAGCAGGGTGAGGAAATTGTCGCCCATCAGTCACTCATTAGTTACGTGTAGGTTTTGCTGTAGCATCCTATGGAATATTGACATGTTATAGCATAGAGCTCTTCGTATCTATTCAGCAAGAGGTTGATGATACCGCCTGACAAATAATCCTGTTGAGATAAATGCATTACGAAATAAATGAGGCGGTATTACAGAGGTCTATTCTGGGTACAGCACGTAACAGATTTATATTGTTCCTCAAACATTAATCACCGCACTGTCATTACGAGCCGTGAATACCAAGGAGCCATTTAACATATGGACGGACACTGAAGAAAACAGTGTGTTCTATAGAGCAGTCTCAGTCAGTCGTAAATTCTGTTATAGATGATTTGTAAAAACGCATCCTATATGCAATGTAGTTTTTGTAATTTGTTTTTATCTGAGTTGTACCTAGAGAAAGAGAGAGCGAAAGAGAGTTCAGTTCCATATTTTAAACTTCTGTATTTGATATGCTGTGCTTAAAAAGAACAAAACTCTGAGGTTGTCATCTGAGCAAAGTCCAAGACACGGAAAAGTCCTTGCTGTTGCCTCTAAAGAAAATTTTAGAGATTAGTGCTTGATGAGCCCAAAATGATCAAACAGCTCAATACAACTTTTTGTATTTTTTATTAAGCTTATGACTTTTCCTTCCATAAACTCACTCCCATGTGAACTTTGCTTTAGTTTTATTACTTGGTCCTTCCCAATGTTGACTTGGGCATCGGAAATTGAGGAGTAGGTCACCACGCCCATCTTCAATGTAAATAGCGACACCTTGTGGCCAAACCTCGTCCTCACAAGGGATAACAGTGGACATAACAAAGATCTACACCGGACATAACGGTATTGTGTCTGTTCAGATTTGACTGATTAATGTTTCATAGATTTTTGAGGAGCTGAAATAATATTGCATGATAAACTTTACCAGCTTAAAATGTTTATTTACACATATATACAAACACCAACAAGGGTACCAAAAACAAGAAAATAATAAATGGACTAAAACACTAACAAAGCTGGAGACATTCTTACCAAATTCAAAAGGAGGATTACATCAATTCTAAATGTCCCTCCCCAGCATCACATTAGGAAATAAATTACACTGAAGGATAAAATTAGGCCATCAATACATGCTTGAGCAAGAGGTTCTTAACAGATCAAATACAAAAAAAGGTATCCACAGGCAGCAATTTTCAGCGGAGAGCCATGCAGACAAAGGACTGCTCATGGAAAACACATTCTGTCACACTGTCCTCAGACGAGGTCAGAAATGGAGGGGTAGCCTGTGACCCTCATCTCTCCAGCCATTAGTCCAACAACTATTCCTCAATAGTCAGTTAATTAAAACAGTCACCTATTATGAATAAACCTGGATCTTCTATGGCTGATAACCGGTTCCTGCCCTCATTATCACACCGCCAATGGCCTCAGTTGACACGGCAGGCGCGGATCATCAGTAGCTGCAGGAGGATGAAGAGTGGTGAGACGATGAGACCGAACCACAGGTCACGTGCCTGTTCCTGCTCAACCAGCTTCTGGCACAGCAGCACCTCACACACCAGCTTGAGGCTGAGCACTGTCAGCACCCACAGCAGCCTCAGCACTGCCAGCCTTTTCTCATTCTCCTGGTACAGCCGGATGGACACGATGGCCGTGAAGTAGGTGCTCAGGCCATCCGCGGCAAACAGAGGGACGAAGACCATCCACCAGCTCATGCCAGGGGCAAACCGGTCAGCCTGCAGCGCTACTAGCACACTGAAGACCAGCAGAGCCCCAAGGTGGAGGAAGAGCTCGAACGTGGCAAAGCCCAGCCATTGGACCAGCTCCCGCAGGGAGAACAGCATGGCCTTAGGGTGGAGGGAGTGGATGCAGGTGGACTGTTCAACCAGGGACCGAATGGGGTAGACTCACTGGTTCGACTCAGGAGAGGTGACGTTTCCAGACTCAGGGTGGTAAAGTGTGAAGGAAGGGAGACATTGAGATCTGGGCAGAAATCCACAGAAGGCAATAGGAAATGGCCCTTAACGAGGAACTGCTGCAGAGACGATCAAGCTCACCAACATCATTGAAGACAGTGGGGGCAGAGAGGACGAAATACTGTGAGCCAGTGAAGAGCTTCACATGTGGAGGATGTCTTCAGGGAATCAAGTTGTTCTGCCTTTATTTAGAAACAGAGACATTTTATTGAGAGCATGACAAGAGTTTACAATGTATTGAAATTGACATGTTACACTGTAAACATCAACAAAATGACAGTATTTACTTCAGCTCCCTTTTACCAAGCTATATTGTAACAAGCCTGAAGTCGGTTGAAACAACTATCAAACGTTGCAAACATTGTTACAATCTCATTCTGTCTTGACTAACAGTCTAGAAGTGGAAATGTATGTGTCCTTCACAAATAGCCTACAATGTATCAAGGGTTGATGACAGTATCCCAATAACGGACTAAAGGAGCCTAACGTTACTCCTTATAGTCCAAGGACCTTACATTATCTGTTTAGAATCTAATTGGTTCTGGCAGCCAAAACAGCCAAATACTCCAGCTAAAGTGAAAATATTTTCCCGGGAAGCCCAATTCCCCATTAAACAACTGGTGAAATCCCCTCACAATGACATGAAACTGTGTTTCTAATAAACAATTAAATTAAAATAGACTACCCCTTGCTAATCAGGAAACTTGTGTACGTTGCGATGGACTGTCATTACAACTGCTTCACAGGAACCTGGTAAAATTATGTTTGAAGTGTAGCTAGCCACTGAATTCACTGTCAGCATGCAGTCAAAGCTATAACCACTTTTGGAGCAAACTAGTGCTCTCAAATCGTATCCTAATGTCAACAGCAGATGGGAGTTGTATTCATAACATTGCTAACTTAGCTAGCTAACATACATTGAGAAAATAAGTTATATTAGGTTGCTAGCAACACCTTGTGGTAAATGAGACAGAGCTATCTAACTAAACAGCTGAGCTAGATTTTTTTTTTTTTTTACAAAAGTAGCTATAATTTCAAAATATTGAAAACAAAAATGAGCTTTTACATTTACATTTTAGTCATTTAGCAGACGCATACTGGCCCCCGTGGGAATCGAACCCACAACCCTAGCGTTGCAAGCTCCATGCTCTACCAACTGAGCTACACCGGGGGCTTTTAGTTCATAATTTAACGCTGCCATATGTAACTTTTTGGGCGACCCGACCAAATTCATATAGAAATGTGAGGGCAAACTAGTGAAATCAGTACTCCAAATGGGAACAACCAGTTCAATTTATTGATGTTGCTAGAGATGAACGTGACAGAAGAATATATTAATTGTTGTAATGAGCCTTCGTGCGCCCCAGTCTGTTGGTAGCTCTGCCAGCCTATGAAAGCAGGACATCAATAGGAGAATAACTTTAATCTGTTCTAATTATTTAGAATTATTTATTATATTTGGTCGAACAGGGCGGAGATGTTTTCCATGCTGCAGCCTTGCAAATCACATGTGCATCAAGTACGAAAAATGTGGGCTAGACATCTGGCAAAAACAACATAAGGCAAAATGCATGTGCATCTGGTGGACATATGGTCTAATGCTTACACAGGTGTTTGGAGCATGCTAGATAGCTAATTAACGGTCGCCTCGTCTTCATCTGTTTTCCGTAAACAAGCGCTGTAACGAGGAGATATGGTCATGTGGGAACACTAACCCTATAAAGGTGTGTATCAATGTAACTTTTTTTTTTCTTGCTGATATTAAAGATAAGGTCCTTATGCTTCCAAAACCGTACCGCAAGCGATGCATGTTAGTGTTCAGACCGAGCGTCGGGGATCTTCACATAACTCCCCACTACAGAAGACGCCTTTGTCCAATTACTTATGTGTAATGTAATGGAACGGAGAGTAATGATCAAGGACTATGCCATGGTGACAGTTGAAATCGTTTGTCAGCTAGCTAGCTGCCTGGCTACATTCATGGTTTTAACTGACAACAACCGCTCACAAACGATTCCCAATAACGTTACAGCATTTTACAAGCTAGCTAGACCGCTGTATTGTCAGATCATTAGGCTAGCTAGTAGCTGACGTTAGCTGAGCTACAGTTACGTTACAGCAAAGACAGTGTGGTTTCAGTGCTAGCACAATCAACAACTAGCTAGTTGGCTACCTCGTAGCCCTTATCCATCTCATACTAGCTACATATCATTTCTCCCTCTGTGCATGTGTGTCAAGTAATATGGGATATTATAGGACATGACAAGGTTTTAGCGAAATGTTGTGGTTTTACCTCAATTCAGTCAATTCCGATTCAAGTGTCAGGTTAGCCTTTTCGTAATGTTTTCATTCCTTCACTCAAAGCTACGGTGTACTATCGCGGGAACTTGTACGTTTACGGAACAATTGTACGGTGACCGGTTAGTGTCTGCGCCTAGTGCAAGCAAAGGAGCACGGACGTACTGTACAAGGCAAGAACACCGAAATTCATTGATTTATTTGAGCAACGTTAACCTTGTTGTATGTTAATTAATGCTGGCAAGTTACGTTTTGGATGTAGCAAGGTGAACAAGTTATAATTCTGCGGAATATGACCAGGAGGAGTTGAAAATGTGTTTGCTAGTCGTGTGGTGCATGGAGCATATAATTGGCACATTTGAGCACATGATTGTTGATAGTCGAAGTTAGCTTTCTGTCGTTACATTTCATTGTTTTAAAACTGTTGTTTTATGTCTGATTTTGCTTAGTTCTCGTAAATGTAGACTTTTCATGTCAATAATCTTGAAATTATAGAATTAAAAGGATCTGGAATGGGCTTTCATAAATGTGAGCAATTATTCTTCCTCCAGCTGTGTGAAAGCCAGCATTATCACTGCTGTCACTCAGGGTCATCCAATTGTTTAGTTTATGTCAGGTTATGTGTAGCCTAAACCACTCTCTCATTCCAATGCATCTCAGAAATGTGGGGGTGAATAAAGGTGCCGTTGTCAAACCTCTCTCTCTCTCAGCGCAAAGATGCAGCAGGTCGATTCTCTTCTCCACAGTGGCTATTTTCACCCAACACTCAGATACTGGCAGACCTGCGCCTCAGACTTGAGACCTGAGAACCTCATCTACCCCATCTTCGTCACGTAATGTCTCCTCTCCAACACAGACACTACGATGTCATCTTGATGTTGTGATACAAATGACAGATGCCCTTGTGTCAGTCAGTTACACTGTAGGCTATATTTGGGTGGCTATGTGTTTTTATGACATGACAGCTTTCTTGTTCTTTTCTCCAACAGTGACAGTCCTGATGCTGTGGAGCCCATCGCTAGTCTGCCAGGCCAGGCCAGGTAATGACTCCAGATTACCTGTTCATGTGGTTGATTTTAAAACATATATGACTTTGAAACAAAGACTTTGAATGAGAATTCTCATTCAAAATCATCTGATTGAGTGAGAATGAGCAGGGGATGGGGACCATTGAGATCAAGGCTGTGACCTCCAGATAAATACTGTGAGGCAGGGTGGATCCAGAGCCAACAACTGGGCCAAGATAAGAAGATAATCCGTTAGCTCTTTGTCCCTCACAACCCTCCCTGCTCATGCACCATTTGGTTACTATATAATAGGCTGTAATGTAATACTGAGCCCTAATTCTTGGTACTATTATGTGTCAGTGTTGAAATTACTGTCAATAGTTATCTCACTCGTCTGATTTGGTTTGTTGCCCAAAACAAACCAGATTTTAGGCTAAAGAGATCAAATACATCCCCAGTGCATTGATAATGAAGTGCCACTTAGTAATTGCTTGCCTCAAAGTGGTATTGAATTAGCACTTTGTAGTTTGTCCATTCCCTGTGTCCCCCTCAATCTCTTTTTCTCCCCACAGATATGGAGTGAATAAACTGGAAGGCATGCTACGCCCCCTTGTGGAGAATGGCTTGAAGTGTGTGCTGATTTTCGGGGTGCCTGCCAAAATCGCTAAGGTACAGTAAACTATATGCACTTGTAAAATGTGTCTTTTTTGCCACTACATCAACTCCAAAGCGCATATGTCTACACCCTTGCACACTGTCATACCTTTTCACCTTTCTTCTCAGGATGAGAGGGGTTCGGGTGCAGACACAGACGATACTCCGGCAGTATTGGCTGTGAAGAAGATAAGCTCTCTTTTCCCTGACCTGCTGATGGCCTGCGACGTCTGCCTCTGTCCCTACACCTCACATGGACACTGTGGTCTGTCACTCTCTATCACATCTTTTCGTCTACAACTAATGCAAATCTAATTTCCTTTGATTAACACTACAGTGTTATAAGACTGCCCTCTGATTCGCCCTCAGGAATCTTGCGGGAGGATGGCACTCTGGACAATGGTGCCAGTTGCCAGCGTCTGGCAGAAGTGGCATTGGCCTATGCCCGTGCTGGTGAGTCTGGTCACTCCTCCCCCCACTTTATCTACTCTCACTTCTAAAAAATAGTGGACTGGACCAATGTTGATACTGCTCAATGGGGAGCCACACCCATGTCAATAGTTTAAGATCTCTTGTTCTTATCGTACAGGCTGTCACATCATTGCACCCTCTGATATGATGGATGGGCGAGTGGGAGCCATCAAACAATCACTGATGTCCAATGACATGGGCAACAAGGTAACAGATGGGAGCACTAGTTTGTACATAACCTTATATTCATAGGGACTCAATAAGGAAAGGAAAGCATTTGCCATAAGGAAACCCTTAGTAAAGAAGCCATTTGCTTGAATTTCCTGAAAGAAAATGTCCAAGAAAAGTAATGTATTTCCTCCTTCTCCCCAGGTTTCAGTGCTAAGCTACAGTGCTAAATTTGCTTCCTGTTACTATGGTCCCTTCAGGTAACTATCGATTGTAAAGCCAAGTATGGACAGAAAAGGCATTTACTTACCAGTTATTTGACAGGATGCTCTAAGGAAGCTTTTTTTTTTGTAGAGATGCAGCACAGTCCAAACCAGCATTTGGAGACAGGCGTTGTTATCAGCTGCCCCCTGGTGCAAGGGGCCTGGCACTGCGAGCTGTGGTAAGAGTGTCTGTGAAATGTACGCATATGTATGAAAGGTAGAGAGAGAGTCAATTTACCCAGGTGGTTGAGGTTTTGTTTCTGTTTTTCTCTCAGGACAGAGATGTCAAGGAGGGAGCAGATATGCTGATGGTGAAGCCAGGACTGCCCTATCTGGACATAGTGAGGGAGGTCAAAGACAAGGTTAGTATGTTCTACCTCATTTTTCTCTGCATGGTTACAGAGTTTCAGGCTCTGGGATCAGTATTGATAGTTTGAGCTAAATAACCAAACTACACTAAGTTCACATCCAAGGGTACACAAACAAGTCTATCATCAGTTGTTATGAAGACTACAAAACCCTTCTGCTTTTACCTGCTCCATATTTTTCTTACCACCCTCCTCTGCTCCCTTCCAGCACCCCACTCACCCACTGGCAGTGTATAACGTGTCAGGGGAGTTTGCTATGCTGTGGCATGGAGCTCAGGCTGGAGCCTTTGACCTGCGCACCGCTGTAATGGAATCTATGACCGCCTTCCGCAGGGCAGGTGAGAGGGGAAGTGAGTCATGGGGTCTGGAGGAACAGTGCTCTGTTCTCAATAGAGAAAGAATGAGTTCTACTGCTCTAGTTCTATATTCTTCCCTCTGCTCTAGGTGCTGACATCATCATCACCTACTACGCACCTCAACTGCTCACCTGGCTGAAAGAGTAACAGACAGAAGGATGGACCTACGGATTGACATAGAGATGGACCATGCGATTAACTCCTTTTTACCTAGCTGTGCAAGGGGTCTACTCAAACTAAACTGACATGTGAGAACAGGCAATCTATCTTCATACATTCATTTACAGTTTCTTTTTCTATATAACATTGATACTTCATAATGTTCTGAGACTCTTTTTTTCATGTGCAGCAACCACAAATTCTCACCAAAGATGGTATTCTTCAAGCTAGTAACCACTTGTAAAGCGTATCAAATAAGCTTTGAAGGGTTAGCCTAATGTTAGATGAAAAAATGGGAATGTAAAAGCTATCTGTTGATTGACTTGTTGGTTTATGGGTGTTTTTACTATTCTATAGATTTCCGAATTGAGTAATCATGGCCTTTATTTAACTGTTTCTATTTTATTCTGTGTTATCTGTAAGAGGCACTCTGGCTTCAGCACTGTCCTATCCAATAAAATATAGATTTTTTTGAATAACAGCAATAAAGCTACAATCGAGTCTGAAATATGATCCATAGAGTTACTTTTGTTTTATTACATATAACTTTGTTCACATTTTTTTAAAAACTGTTAAATGCTTACTTTACGAGCCCTTTCCCAACAATGCAGATTTAGAAAGTTTTAAAAAAGGAAATAGTAATAAAATACTGAGTCAATGTGCAGGGGTACGATGTAGTTGAGGTAATTGGGGTAATATGTACATTTAGGTAGGGGTAAAAGTGACTAGGCAATCAGGATAGATAAACAGAGTAGAAGCAGCGTGTGTGTGAGTTGGAGTGTCAGTGTTGTGTGTGGGTAGAGTCCAGTGAGTGCATAGAGCCAGTGCAAGAGAGTCAGTGCAAAAACAAAGGGGGTCAATGCAAATAGTCCGGGTAGCCATTTGATTAACTGTTCAGTGGTCTTATGGCTTGGGGGTAGAAGCTGTTCAGGAGCCTTTTGGTCCAAGACTTAGCTCTCCTTGTACCGCTTGCCGTGTGGTAGCAGAGACCGCAGTTTATGACTTGGGTGGCTGGAGTCTTTGACAATTTTAAGGGCCTTCCTCTGACACCGCCTGTTATAGAGGTCCTGGATGGCAGGGAGCTAGGCCCCAGTGATGTACTGGGACGTATGCACGTACTACCCTCTGTAGCACCATACGGTCGGATGCCAAGCAGTTGCCATACCAAGCGGGGATGTAGCCAGTCAAGATGCTCTCAATTGTGCAGCTGTATTACTTTTTGAGGATCTGAGAGCCCATGCCAAATATTTTCAGCCTCCTGAGGGGGAAGAGATGTTGTCGTGTTTTCTTTACAGCTGTGTAAGTCTGTTTGGACCATGACAGGTTCTTAGTGATGTGGACACCGAGGAACTTGAAGCTCTCGACCCGCTCTACTACAGCCACGTCGATGTGAATGGGGGTGTGCTCGGCCCTCAGTTTCCTGTAGTCAACAATCAGCTCCTTTGTCTTGCTGACATTTGAGGGAAAGTTTGTTGTCCTGGCACCACACTGCCATGTCTCTGACCTCCTCCCTATAGGCTCTCATCATCGTCGGTGATCAAGCCTACCACCAGGTGTCATCGGCAAACGTAATGATTTTTGTATTTGTATTTTATTAGGATCCCCATTAGCTGTTGCAAAAGCAGCAGTTACTCTTCCTGGGATCCACACAAAACAAGAAACATTACATAATACAGAACATTAATAGACAAGAACAGCTTTAGGACAGAACTACATACATTTCAAAATGGCACGCATAGTCTACATATCAACACATACATACAAAATGTATAGGTAAAATAGGGGAGAGGCGTTGTGCCGTGAGGTGTTGCTTTATAAAAAAAATTAAACCAGGTTTGCTGATCATTTGAGCAATATGAGATTGAAGTGAGTTCCATGCAATAATGGCTCTATATAATACTGTACGCTTTTTTGAATTTGTTATGGATTTGGGGACTGTGAAAAGACCCCTGGTGGCATGTCTGGTGGGGTAAGTGTGTGTGTCAGAGCTGTGTGTAAGTTGACTATGCAAACAATTTGGAATTTTCAACACAATGTTTCTTATAAAAAGAAGAAGTGACGCAGTCAGTCTCTCCTCAAATCTTAGCCAAGAGCGACTGACATGCATAGTATTTATATTAGCCCTCTGATTACAATGAAGAGCAAGACGTGCCGCTCTGTTCGTTGGAGTTGTGTGCGGCCACGCAGTCGTGGGTAAACAGGGAGTACAGGAGGGGACTAAACACGCACCCCAGAGGGGCCCCCGTGTTGAGGATCAGCGTGGCAGATGTGTTGTTGCCTACCTTCACCACCTGGGGGCAGCAGTCCAGGATCCAGTTGCAGAGGGAGGTGTTCAGTCCCAGGGTCCTTAGCTTAGTGATGAGCTTGGAGGGCACTATGGTGTTGAACAGGTTGAGAGCTTCAAGTTCCTTGGTGTCCACATCACCAATGAACTATCATGCTCCAAACACACCAAGACAGTCATGAAGAGGGCACGACAAAGCCTATTCCCCCTCAGGAGACTGAAAAGATTTGGCATGGGTCCTCAGATCCTCAAAAAGTTCTACAGCTGCACCATCGAGAGCATCCTGACTGGTTGCATCACCGCCTGGTATGGCAACTGCTCATCCTCCGACCGCAAGGCACTACAGAGGGTAGTGTGTACGGCCCAGTACATCACTGGGGCCAAGCTTCCTGCCATCCAGGACCTCTATACCAGGCGGTGTCAGAGGAAGGCCCTCAAAATTGTCAAAGACTCCAGCCACCCTAGTCATAGACTGTTCGCTCTGCTACCGCACAGCAAGCGGTACCGGAGCGCCAAGTCTAGGTCCAAAAGGCTTCTCAACAGCTTCTACCCCCAAGCCATAAGACTCCTGAACAGCTAATCATGGCTACCCTGACTATTTGCACTGCCCCCAACCCCCACCCCATCTTTTTACGCTGCTGCTACTCTGTTAATTATTTATGCATAGTCACTTTAACTCTACCCACATGTACATATTACCTCAACTACCTCAACTAGCCGGTGCCCCCGCACCTTGTCTCTGCACCGGTACCCCCCTGTATATATAGCCTCCCTACTGTTCTTTTATTTTACTTCTGCTCTTTTTTTCTCAACACTTTTTTGTTGTTGTTTTATTTTACTTTTTTATTTAAAAATAAATGCATTGTTGGTTAAGGGCTGTAAGTAAGCATTTCACGGTAATGTCTACACCTGTTGTATTTGGCGCATGTGGCAAATAAGATTTGATTTGATTTGAGATTGAGTAAACAAAACTATGGTAAACTACACTTACAATTATTTGCTGTATAATTGTCATTTTCTTACCACTGAAGATGAGTCACAACATGGCTTGGCTTCAGAAGATGGTTTTGGTCATAGACTGTATGGGTCATAGACTGTATACACCCCGACCCCAGTACTCCATTCTGCCACCTGTGGTCTCTTGGCCCTCCCACCCCTACAGAAGGGCCGCTCCTGCTCATCCCAGAGAGGAAGAGGCGAAGCGAGAGGGATAACTGTGCCAAAAACCTGTCTTCTCCAGCAGGTGGCGTTGTTTCGTTTCTTTCAGTCACCAGGCTAGGAGTTTTTGTGTGGAAGGAAATGAGTGTCGAATTTGGTCAACAACAAAAAAGTAATGGCTTATTTGCTACGTGAGGTTTATTTGATTGAATATAAGTTTCGTAATGCTTAGATTGTTAAGAGTGTAGTGATATAAGTAGGACACGTGACATCCCGGCAACTTTGAGAAAAAACACTTTATATCGGAGTTGAGAAAAAAACACTTTATATCGGAGTTGTCTCAAGATGGCTATCCATATTTATGACATGAGGCTAGTAGCATAGCGTCTCTCTCCATTGAATACAGGCGGTTAACGTCAACACCTTCGTCGAATATTCAAAAACATATTAAAATAACGAGATGTATCTACCAATCCAACGAGAGGAATAGGCCAGAGCTTGCCAGCCTGCTGTTTCTGCTCAGTAAACAACGAATCCCATTGTTAGGGTGGAGACATACAGTGCCTTTAGAAAGTATTTATAACCCTTGACTTATTCCACATTTTGTTACAGCCTGAATTAAAAATGGATTCAATAAAAAAAAAATCTCACCCATCTACACACAATACCCCACAATGACAAAGTGAAAACATGTTTTTAGAAATTATTGCAAATGTATTGACAATGAAATATTGAAAAATCTTATTTACATAAGTATTCACACCCCTGAGTCAATACATTTTAGAATCACCTTTGGCAGCGTTTACAGCTTTGAGTCTTTCTGGGTAAGACTCTAAGAGCTTTTCACACCTGGATCATACAATATTTGCACATTATTTTAAAAAAATTGTTCAAGCTCTGTCAAGTTGGTTGTTGATCATTGCTAGACAGCCATTTTCAAGTCTTGCCATAGATTTTCAAGCCAATTTAAGTCAAAACTGTAACTAGGCCACTCAGGAACATTCAATATCGTCTTGGTAAGCAACTCCAGTGTATATTTGGCCTTGTGTTTTAGGTTATTGTCCTGCTGAAAGGAGAATTTGTCTCCCTGTATCTGTTGAAAAGCAGACTGAACCAGGTTTTCCTCTAGTATTTTGCCTGTGCTTAGTTTTATTCTGTTTATTTTTATCCCCAAAAAACTCCCTAGTCCTTGCCGATGACAAGCAGACCCATAACATGATGCAGCCACCATCATGCTTGTAAATATGAAGTGTGGTACTCAGTGATGTGTTGTGTTGGATTTGCCCCAAACATAACGCTTTGTAATCAGGACATAAAGTTCATTTCTTTGCCACCTTCCGAAAACATCAGACCCCCCCCCCCCCCCCCCCCTCACTTTATTGATGAACATGTACTTACTATGATTGAGATCTGTGGTTGTCCCACCTAGCTATCTTAATATGAATGCACTAACTGTAAGTCACTCCGGATAACAGCGTCCGCTAAATGACTAGAATGTAAATGTAGGTAGCTTGGACAGTCCCAGGAGCTGAAGAAAAGTGCTCAGTTATAAGTGAGTGCTCTGTAGCTGTTGGAAGTGTGTGCACTGTGCAGACTGCACTGACAAGCCAATGAGAGAACGTTCATCATCACAGATGTCTGCACCAGTAAGTACACTGCATTCGGAAAGTATTCAGACCCCTTCACTTTTTCCACAATTTGTTACATTACAGCCTTATTCTAAAATTGATTAAATAAAAACATTTCCTCATCAATCAACACACAATACCTCATAATGACAAAGCGAAAACAGGTTTTGAATTTTTTTTGCAAATGTATTACAAATAAAAAACAGAAATACCTTATTTACATAAGTATTCAGACCCTTTGCTATGAGACACAAAATTGAGCTCAGGTGCATCCTGTTTCCACTGATCATCCTTGATGTTTCTACAACTTGACTGGAGTCCACCTGTGGTACATTTAATTGATTGGACATGATTTGGAAAGGCACAGTTGACAGTGCATGTCAGAGCAAAAACCAAGCCATGAGGTCGAATGAATTGTCCGTAGAGCTCTGAGACAGGATTGTGTCGAGGCACAGATCTGGGGAAGGGTACCAAAACATTTCTGCAGCATTGAAGGTCCCCAAGAACACAGTGGCCTCCATCATTCTTAAATGGAAGAAGTTTGGAACCACCAAGACTCTTCCTAGAGTTGGCCACCCGGCCAAACTGAGCAATCGGAGGAGAAGGGCCTTGGTCAGGGAGGTGACCATGAACCCGATGGTCACTCTGAAAGAGCTCCAGAGTTCCTCTGTGGAGATGGGAGAACCTTCCAGAAGGACAACCATCTCTGAAGCACTCCACCAATCAGGCCTTTATGGTAGAGTGGCCAGACGGATGCCACTCCTCAGTAAAAGGCACATGACAGGCCGCTTGGAGTTTGCCGAAAGGCACATAAAGGACTCTCAGACCATGAGAAACAAGATTCTCTGGTCTGATGAAACCAAGATTGAACTCTTTGGCCTGAATGCTAAGCATCACGTCTGGAGAAAACCTGGCACCATCCCTACGGTGAAGCATGGTGGTGGCAGCATCATGCTGTGGGGATGTTTTTCAGCAGCAGGGACTGGGAGACTAGTCAGGATCGAGGGAAAGATGAACGGAGCAAAGTACAGAGAGAGATCCTTGATGAAAACCTGCTCCAGAGCGTTCAGGACCTCAGACTAGGGTGAAGGTTCCCCTTCCAACAGGACAACGACCCTAAGCACACAGCCAAGACAACGCAGGAGTGGCTTCGGGACAAGTCTCTGAATGTCCATGAGTGGCCCAGCCAGAGCCCGGACTTGAACCCGATCGAACATCTCTGGAGAGACCTGAAAATAGTTGTGCAGCAACGCTCCCCATCCAACCTGAGAGCTTGAGAGGATCTGCAGAGAAGAATGGGAGAAACTCCCCAAATGCAGGTGTGCCAAGCTTGTAGCATCATACCCAAGAAGAATCGAGGCTGTAATCGCTGCCAAAGGTGCTTCAACAAAGTACTGAGTAAAGGGTCTGAATACTTATGTAAATGTCATATTTCCGTTTTTCATTTTTAACACATTTGCAAAAATGTCTAAAAGCCTGTTTTTGCTTTGTCATTATGATATATTGTGTGTAGATTGATGAGGGGGAAAAACAATTTAATCAAATCAGAATAAGGCTGTAACGTAACAAAATGTGGAAAAAGTGAAGGGGTCTGAATACTTTCCGAATGCACTGTATGGATGAATAATGCAGAGGACACTCACTCTGGCTGTCAACAACCTGTCAACAAATAGCTACATGATTTTGCACATTCCATTTTCCTGTACCTAAGAGGAACTTGAGTAGGCCCACCTTTTACACACACAACAGATATAGTATATTTTGTTTACTGCTTACTATTGATATTTTGTGTTTATAAACCTCTCTGATGGTTATTTGTATTTTATTTTATTTAACCTTTATGTATACAGAGAATCCCAATTGAGACCAATGTATATTTTTCAATGGTGCTCTGCACAATAATTTACTAAGGACTAGTATACTCTGTATTTTATTGGAGTACCCTTCTTATGAAGTAGCGAGTGTTCTGAAATCTACTTGTTGGTTCTTTTAAAGGACGGGTAGACGTCTCGCCGGGTGCAGAAGATTGTTGTTGCATTTATTTATTTTTTCCCCACTGGCTAGCCATTTGATTTGTCTCCATAAAGATTGTCAACGGGCAGGTCGGTCACGGTTTTATATTATTGTACGAATTTATTTAGGAAATAAAATCAGAATAGTTTAGATTGATATAATGTGGTTATGGAAGGATAACGTTACAAACTGCCATAGTTAAATTTAGGAACGAATGACAGCTAGCTTGTAACGTTAGCTTAGCTATATGGGGTTTGGTAGCTAGCTTTTGCGTAAGGTAGCTAACGTTAGCTAGCTGGTGAGGTTAAAGTTTTGTATCCCGAGACGTGTAACCAGTAGCTAAGCTAACTAGGTACCTTTTTATGATGTGTATTATTCCTCACATATTTCGAAACAAACATTAACGGTGTTGTCAGTGTTAATGTGACTTTTTTTTAGCTAGCCTAGGTAGCGAGTTGGCTAACGTCATAGCTGAGAATTCTGAACTCGATATGTAACTACCGTGCGTGAGTTGGGAATTCTCAACTAGCCTCGCTAGCTAACTAGCTAGGTACGTTGAAAATAGCTAACTGTTGTTGGCAATGTAGTTAGCAGTAGCTAGCTATCGTTTACAGGAAGGGAGTTGTCTTACTTGCGAATGCGAGATTAACGTTAGCTAGCAGCTCTTCAGAAAATGAGCTAGGTAACGTTGTAACTATAATTTATAGATATAGCCCACATTCATTGTTGTCATTATATCACATCAAGATGAATTATCTACATGACTGGTTAATTCCACTTCATTCTATCAACTTATGACATCATGCAACCAGTCCAGTGAAGTGGTTGTTAGGCCTCAGTGGGCAAACCATGCCTTGTGGTGATCTCCTGTCAAACTCTCAGCTGTCATACTTAATATAGAACGTGAGAGGTGGGGCAGGGTCTTACATATTTAGGGTGCTGCTGTCATGCATGTGTTACAGTATAGCCTAATACCAATACTTTGACCTAATGTATGTATCAGAATAACTCTTTCCCCTGTGCTGTTCCCATGCAGGATGTCAGGATGGACAATGGCCCAGCCCTGCCAGATAGCCTGGTGCTGGAGATCTTCCTGCGTCTCCCCCATGACACTGTGCTGAGCGCTGGCCTTGCCTGCAGACAGTGGTTGGCCGTGTCCAGAGATGAGTTCCTGTGGAGGGAGCTGTTCTACAGCTACTACAGAATCCCCCGCTCTGTGCCCAGACACCCTGGTAGGTCACATAGAACACCAGGCAGCAGGGTTGGGCTAATTCCATTCAAACCCAACCAACACAGGAAATGATGTTGATTTCAGCTAATGAATGGTTCCATCATAGGAAAGGATGGACACTTTTCAATTTATAAAGGAGGAAAGTATTGCACTCAACAACAAAAAAATGTGTACTGTAAAAACTAATGTGCCAGCACACAGTGCCCTTGTCCAGTTCCTACTTGAGGTAATTATTATTGCAGTACTGAGTCACTGATATCTTGTGTTAACTGTTGCTCATTGGCTTGAAGTACTGTCATCGCTGATTTGCATAGATGTTTGACTTCTTCCTCCTGTCTCTGGGCCTAGCTGCTCTGTCGTGGTACAGGGAGTTCAAGCGTCTGTTTGACTGTATCCCCTGTGTGGAGGTCCAGACTCTGAAAGAGCACCATGACCAGGTCCTCCACCTGGCCTTCTCCCACCGCGGACACCGCTTCTCCTCCTGCTCCAAAGACTGCACCGTCAAGGTCTGTCACATTATATGACTGGAGAAGACAGTAGCTTTAGCCTAGGGACAGGGATAAGCCAAATAAAGATGTTGTATTCCACAACAACAGTCGCAATGATACATTTTTGCCCCAAGGCCAATGTTAGCATAATGTCCCAAATGGATCCTTGACTGCTGTTATGCAAAAACTAAAATATAAGTATTTGTCAATATTACAGCACAGGAACCATTGTGGACCTTCATTCAAGCTTGTAGTGCCTAAAAATGTGATGTAGGGGAAACAAATAAAATTGTAGAGATTTGCACATCATGGCTGTAGACAAAATGTATTGGTCACGTACACAGTTTAGCACATTATAGTGGGTGCAGCGACATGCTTGTTTCTAGCGCCGGGCAGTGCAGTAAAAATGTCAAACAAGTACACAAATAATAATCAAAAACTAGAAACAAGAAATCACGAATGTCAGGATGAATCCAGTTAACCCAAATATACTGCTTGTCTCTCTCATTATCTAACATCCTCCTCTCTCCTGCCTGTGCTGGTCAGCTTTGGGACACAGAGCGGCCCGATGGCACCATCACCATGGTGCACAGCTCCAGCATGCGCCAGTTCAACTGGGGCTACACCCAGTTCTCCCAGTTCAACGGTGACGACACCCTGCTACTGGTGTCTGGAGTCTACCTGGGCCCTCATCACTCCTCCTCTGGGGAGATCGCTGTCATCAACTTGGGTAGGACACACACACTCTCCTGCTTTTGTCTCCTTCCTTGTCTTCCTTGTCTTCCTCTACTCGCTCTTTCTCTTGTGCTTTCATTGGTCATTTTTCTGGAAAGTGCATCACAAAGCCTAATTTCCTTTGTTAAAGGCCAATGACGTTACGACACACAGACATTGTGATTCGTGTGGGACATAGATGGAGCACAGTATGAGGAAATGTGGAGGAAAACTAAATGACATACACAGCACACTTTAATTATAACTATAACTGTTAAGCAACTAACATTTCCTCACACTTCTTTTTACATGCAAAACAGGTCTTAAAGTTACATATTTGCTCTGACACACCCAAGCCAGACCATAGCTACTACAACCAGTGGAGGCTGGTGGGAGGAGCTATAGGAGGACAGGCTCATTGTAGTGGCTGGAATGGAATTAATGGAACGGAGTCGAACATGTGGTTTCCATATGTTTGATACTGTTTCATTTATTCCATCCAGCCATTACAATGAGCCCGTCCTCTTATAGCTCCTCCCACCAGCCTCCACTGACTACAACCCATTTCAATTGTGCAAGTGCATCCGTGAAAACACAAAGAATCTTACCACACCTGCGGCATAATACAGTACTGTTGCAACATATTAAATAGGCCTACCTGTATTCATGAACTTATCTGTCCTTTTGAAAGATAACAACATATCTCATATCTATAATGTAACAATAATATTTGTTATTCTCACACTCTAAGTCACGTGTCAAACACAAGGCTGGCCTGTGATGCATTTCTATCCAGCCCGCGCAATGATTTGGGTTGTCAAATAATTTATGCCCGCTTCCATCCTGCCTGTGACGTGCTGCACTACAGGTCACAGCATGCACTGCGAAACCTCTTCACAGACACACCCACACCCAGACATGAGCCAGTCAGTGTTTTGTATTACATCATCACTAATGGTACTGACCGAATCTTTTACTGGACCGGATGTTGAAATGTGTTGTAGGCTAAATGTAGATGCCAAGTTTCAGTTCCAACGGGTCATTGCTGTAGCCTACAGAAAATGTAATCTTGTCAAAAAATTATAAGATAAAGGATTCACTCACGGGTAAATTACTACTAAAGGACAATAGGACAGACACGTGAGTATAAATGATTCAACAGTTGAGTCATCTACTTTATGAAATTACAGCCTGATGCGCTCGCACCGGTGAATTCAACTTACATTTACAGTGAGGGAAAAAAGTATTTGATCCCCTGCTGATTTTGTACGTTTGCCCACTGACAAAGACATGATCAGTCGATCATTTTAATGGTAGGTTTATTTGAACAGTGAGAGACAGAATAACAACAAAAAAATCCAGGAAAACGCATGTCAAAAATGTTATATACAGTGGGGAAAAAAGTATTTAGTCAGCCACCAATTGTGCAAGTTCTCCCACTTAAAAAGATGAGAGGCCTGTAATTTTCATCATAGGTACACATCAACTATGACAGACAAAATGAGAGAAAAAAATCAAGAAAATCACATTGTAGGATTTTTAATGAATTTATTTGCAAATTATGGTGGAAAATAAGTATTTGGTCAATAACAAAAGTTTCTCAATACTTTGTTATATACCCTTTGTTGGCAATGACACAGGTCAAATGTTTTCTGTAAGTCTTCAAAAGGTTTTACACACTGTTGCTGGTATGTTGGCCCATTCCTCCATGCAGATCTCCTCTAGAGCAGTGATGTTTTGGGGCTGTCGCTGGGCAACACGGACTTTCAACTCCCTCCAAAGATTTTCTATGGGGTTGAGATCTGGAGACTAGCTAGGCCACTCCAGGACCTTGAAATGCTTCTTACGAAGCCACTCCTTCGTTGCCCGGGCGGTGTGTTTGGGATCATTGTCATGCTGAAAGACCCAGCCACGTTTCATCTTCAATGCCCTTGCTGATGGAAGGAGGTTTCCACTCAACATCTCACGATACATGGCCCCATTCATTCTTTCCTTTACACGGATCAGTCGTCCTGGTCCCTTTGCAGAAAAACAGCCCCAAAGCATGATGTTTCCACCCCCGTGCTTCACAGTAGGTATGGTGTTCTTTGGATGCAACTCAGCATTCTTTGTCCTCCAAACACGACGAGTTGAGTTTTTACCAAAAGGTTCTATTTTGGTTTCATCTGACCATATGACATTCTCCCAATCCTCTTCTGGATCATCCAAATGCACTCTAGCAACTTCAGACGGGCCTGGTCATGTACTGGCTTAAGCAGGGGGACACGTCTGGCACTGCAGGATTTGAGTCCCTGGCGGCGTAGTGTGTTACTGATGGTAGGCTTTGTTACTTTGGTCCCAGCTCTCTGCAGGTCATTCACTAGGTCCCCCCGTGTGGTTCTGGGATTTTTGCTCACCGTTCTTGTGATCATTTTGACCCCACGGGGTGAGATCTTGCGTGGAGCCCCAGATCGAGGGAGATTATCAGTGGTCTTGTATGTCTTCCATTTCCTAATAATTGCTCCCACAGTTGATTTCTTCAAACCAAGCTGCTTACCAATTGCAGATTCAGTCTTCCCAGCCTGGTGCAGGTCTACAATTTTTGTTTCTGGTGTCCTTTGACAGCTCTTTGGTCTTGGCCATAGTGGAGTTTGGAGTGTGACTGTTTGAGGTTGTGGACAGGTGTCTTTTATACTGATAACAAGTTCAAACAGGTGCCATTAATACAGGTAACGAGTGGAGGACAGAGGAGCCTCTTAAAGAAGAAGTTACAGGTCTGTGAGAGCCAGAAATCTTGCTTGTTTGTAGGTGACCAAATACTTATTTTCCACCATAATTTGCAAATAAATTCATTAAAAATCCTACAGTGTGATTTTCTGGAAATTCTTTTCTCAATTTGTCTGTCATAGTTGACGTGTACCTATGATGAAAATTACAGGCCTCTCTCATCTTTTTAAGTGGGAGAACTTGCACAATTGGTGGCTGACTAAATAATTTTTTCCCCCACTGTATTGATTTGCATTTTAATGAGGGAAATAAGTATTTGACCCATCTGCAAAACATGACTTAGTACTTGGTTGCAAAACCCTTGTTGGCAATCACAGAGGTCAGACGTTTCTTGTAGTTGGCCACCAGGTTTGCACACATCTCAGGAGGGATTATGTCCCACTCCTCTTTGCAGATCTTCTCCAAGTCATTAAGGTTTCGAGGCTGACGTTTGGCAACTCGAACCTTCAGCACCCTCCACAGATTTTCTATGGGAATAAGGTCTGGAGACTGGCTAGGCCACTCCAGGACCTTAATGTGCTTCTTCTTGAGCCACTCCTTTGTTGCCTTGGCCGTGTGTTTTGGGTCATTGTCATGCAGGAATACCCATCCACAACCCATTTTTAATGCCCTGGCTGAGGGAAGGAGGTTCTCACCCAAGATGTGACGGTACATGGCGCCGTCCATCATCCTTTTGATGTGGTGAAGTTGTCCTGTCCCCTTAGCAGAAAAACACCCCCAAAGCATAATGTTTCCACCTCCATGTTTGACGGTGGGGATGGTGTTCTTGGGGTCATAGGCAGCATTCCTCCTCCTCCAAACACGGCAAGTTGAGTTGATGCCAAAGAGCTCCATTTTGGTCTCATCTGACCACAACACTTTCACCCAGTTCTCCTCTGAATCATTCAGATGTTCATTGGCAAACTTCAGACTGGCCTGTATATGTGCTTTCTAGAGCAGGGGGACCTTGCGGGCGCTGCAGGATTTCAGTCCTTCACGGCGTAGTGTGTTACCAATTGTTTTCTTGGTGACTATGGTCCCAGCTGCCTTGAGATCATTGACAAGATCCTCCCGTGTAGTTCTGGGCTGATTCCTCATCGTTCTCATGATCATTGCAACTCCACGAGGTGAGATCTTGCATGGAGCCCCAGGCCGAGGGAGATTGACTGACTGTTATTTTGTGTTTCTTCCATTTGCGAATAATCGCACCAACTGTTGTCACCTTCTCACCAAGCTGCTTGGCGATGGTCTTGTAGCCCATTCCAGCCTTGTGTAGGTCTACAATCTTGTTCCTGACATCCTTGGAGAGCTCGTTGGTCTTGGCCATGGTGGAGAGTTTGGAATCTGATTGATTGATTGTTTCTGTGGACAGGTGTCTTTTATACAGGTAACAAGCTGAGATTAGGAGTACTCCCTTTAAGAGTGTGCTCCTAATCGCAGCTCGTTACCTGTATAAAAGACACCAGGGAGCCAGACATCTTTTTGATTGAGAGGGGGTCAAATACTTATTTCCCTCATTAAAATGCAAATCAATTTATAACATTTTTGACATGCGTTTTTCTGGAATCTTTTGTTGTTATTCTGTCTCTCACGGTTCAAAAAAACCTACCATTAAAATTATAGACTGATCATTTCTTTGTCAGTGGGCAAACGTACAAAATCAGCAGGGGATCAAATACTTTTTTGCCTCACTGTATGCTTTGTCCCTTTTACAGCGGAGGGAAAGTGCTCAGACATGCCACAGTCCTAGGCTACTAAAATGTTGCAGTCTGGCTTTGGTTTTTAAAGCTTGACAATGAATAACCAAAAAACAAAACCTACAACAAAAGCAGAAACATGTAGGCCTATTACAGCAACATTTGAGCAGTAGCCTAGGCTGCCTACTCAACAGCAAGACATTTTGAGCGCACCATACAGCAATGCTGCATTCAAACGCGTCTTAAGTTGTTTAAATGTTACAACAACCTAGCTACGTTTTTGTTATTTTGGGTTTTTAAATCCTTTTTTATTATGGTCGCAGTATATTATGCACGTCTGCAAGCACAGCAGCAAAGGCTGGACAAATACGGTAAAACTTAAATTAAACGTCTAGTCTCAAATAGCCGCTTGTCCCTTTTTTTAATAGCCGGACAATGGCACACATTTCAGCAAATAAATGGCTGTTTCAAATAAACACCTGGTCTAAATGAATTGTTTTACGAGGTTACCATACATTTTTTAAGCTGCAATATGTCACTTTTTGGGCGACCTGACCAAATTCACATAGAAATGTGTGTTATAGATATGTCATTCATATTGAACGCAAGTCTAGGAAGCGGTAGATCTCTTCTATGTGAGCTACTTCTATGCTTCCTGGTCTTAAGTTTTGTTTTAGCGTATTTTACTTTTGGTTCTGTACTCCAGCTGAAAATACAATATTTTTGGTTATGGAAAATATTTCACAGCAGTTTAGATGGTACAATGATTCTCTACACTATACTTGCTTATTTTGTCACAAACTGAAATTAGACAAACTATTAGAATTTTTGCAATCAGGAAATGATGGAGTGATTTCTGCATAGTGCATCTTTAAAGTTTGATCTGTTACATAAAAAAATTCAGTAGATTCGAAAAAATGATGGCAATCATTTGTTTTTATCTCCAGTAAGAAACTGTTAGCCATTGGCTGCTAACAGCTGAGAACTGCTAGCTAATATGGGTCGTCAGAGCGGAAGAGGTAATGAGAGAGGCCCAACTTGGCGGAAAATATATCTCCCTCCAGCAGGTGGCGTTTTTAGTTTTTCCACCCACCAAGCAAGGAGTTTTTGTATGGAGGTCAAATTTTATGGCTTATTTGCTACGTGAGGTTTATTTGATTGAATAGAAGTTTCGTAATGCTTATGTTGTTACGAGTGTACTGATATAAGTAGGACACGCATCATCCCTGCAACTTTGAGAAAAAACACTATCGAGATGGCAATGTATATTCATGGCATTAGGCTAGTAGCATAGCATCTCTCTCCATTGAATACAGGTGGGTTACGTCAACCCTCATCAAATTTTCAAAAAAGTATTAAGATAATGAGATGTATCCACCAATCCAAAGAAAGGATAGGTGGGAGCTAGACAGCCCGCCGTGCTGCTTTGTGGACTACTACTCCCATTGTTAGGGCAGAGAGACAAGTGTCTTGTCAGTATATCTATAATCTTTGGGGTCGTTCGGGAACTAGTGGCTCTTTTTGTACTGATCTTTTTGGTGAACGTCGGGAAACCGAATTGCATCGGTGAAAGTGACGTTCATTTGGCTCCCTGATTTGCATACTGCTATTGCTGCTTTTTGATCTCAAAACAATGATTATCTGCAGATAACTTACAAAATAATTATCTAAAGAAGGTGCGTAGAATCCTCACTGCAGAAACAATAAATAGTGGGGAGGGCACGTCATTCTGGTCCACGCTCATTTTTGCAGTGCATTAAAATTTTTTTAAACAAAATGTATATACATACACACACACACACACACACAACCGTTCAAAAGTTTGGGGTCACTTAGAAATGACATTTTTTTGTCCATTAAAATAACATCAAATTGATCAGAAATACAGTGTAGATATTGTTAATGTTGTAAATGACTATTTTAGCTGGAAACTGCAGATTTTTTATGGAATATCTACATAGGCGTACAGAGGCCCATTATCAGCAACCATCAGTCCTGTGTTCCAATGGCACATTGTGTTTGCTAATCCAAGTTTATCATTTTAAAAGGCTAATTGATCATTAGAAAACCCTTTTGCAATTATGTTAGCACAGCTGAAAACTGTTGTGCTGATTAAAGAAGCAATAAAACTGGCCTTCTTGAGACTAGTTGAGTATCTGGAGCATCAGCAATTGTGGGTTCGATTACAGGCTCAAAATGGCCAGAAACAAATAACTTTATTTTGAAACTCGTCAGTCTATTCTTGTTCTGAGAAATTAAGGCTATTCCATGTGAGAAATTGCAAAGAAACTGAAGATCTCGTACAATGCTGTGTAATACTCCCTTCACAGAACAGCGCAAACTGTCTCTAACCAGAATAGAAAGAGGAGTGGGAGGCCCCGGTGCACAACTGAGCAAGAGGACAAATACATTAGTGTCTAGTTTGAGAAACAGGCGCCTCACAGGTCCTCAACTGGCAGCTTCATTAAATAGTACCTGCAAAACACCAGTCTCAACATCACCAGTGAAGAGGCGACTCCGGGATGCTGACCTTCTAGGCAGAGTTGCAAAGAAAAAGCCATCTCAAACTGCCCATCTTAATCTTTTCTTTTTATTGGCCAGTTTGAGATATGGCTTTTCCTTTAATGGACAAAAAAAAATCATTTTTTTTTTTAAACAAGGACATTTCTAAGTGACTCTAAACTATATATATAGATAGCCTACTTTTGGGGCTTTACATTGGAGATTTGCAATATTTTTCTGTTTCTAGGTCGATTTCTAAGCATTTAGAACGAAGAGCCGTTTGGGAGCCAAATGAGACGTCTCTTTTACTTGAACGGAGCCAAATGAGCCGGTTCATCGAAAAGACTCAGAATGCCCATCACTACTAGCTAACTGGCAAGCACAAAAGCAGTCAACAACTTCGGGAGTACAGACCAGGGTTGCCAGGTCAAACTAAAATTTCTAGTCCAATGACTTCTCAAAACCTGCCCACAAGGCCTGAAAACTAGCCCAATTAATTATTTTGCAGCAAGAGATGACCTGCCACATTTATCCAATAAACCCTTTTTCCATAACGTTATCTAGTGAATTAAGAAAGAATGTCAACGTAATTTGTAACGATGTAGGCTAAGAAGCATAATAATAATTATTGCGAGTTTAAGAATGTCCCAAGAAAAAATATGATTTGCCCTTATTAAACTGGCCAGATCATTTTCCATCAATGGATGTCAATTTAACTTGTTTGACTGCAATGATTAAGCATAAATCCCGAGGAGGTGTGGTAGGATTAATGAGTTTGACATCTACTGTCCAACTTTCATCACTCAATCTCTGTGCAAGAAACACTTGGCCCATATACAGTGAGGGAAAAAAGTATTTGATCCCCTGCTGATTTTGTACGTTTGCCCACTGACAAAGAAATGATCAGTCTATAATTTTTATGGTAGGTTTATTTGAACAGTGAGAGACAGAATAACAACAAAAAAATCCTGAAAAATGCATGTAAAAAATGTTATAAATTGATTTGCATTTTAATGAGGGAAATAAGTATTTGAACCCTCTGCAAAACATGACTTAGTACTTGGTGGCTAAATCCTTGTTGGCAATCATAGAGGTCAGACGTTTCTTGTAGTTGGCCACCAGGTTTGCACACATCTCAGGAGGGATTTTGTCCCACTCCTCTTTGCAGATCTTCTCCAAGTCATTAAGGTTTCGAGGCTGACGTTTGGCAATTCAAACCTTCAGCTCCCTCCACAGATTTTCTATGGGATTAAGGTCTCGAGACTGGCTAGGCCACTCCAGGACCTTAATGTGCCTCTTCTTGAGCCACTCCTTTGTTGCCTTGACCGTGTGTTTTGGGTCATTGTCATGCTGGAATACCCATCCACAACCCATTTTCAATGCCCTGGCTGAGGGAAGGAGGTTCTTACCCAAGATTTGACTGTACATGGCCCGTCCATCGTCCCTTTGATGCGGTGAAGTTGTCCTGTCCCCTTAGCAGAAAAACACCCCCAAAGCATAATGTTTCCACCTCCATGTTTGACGGTGGGGATGGTGTTCTTGGGGTCATAGGCAGCATTCCTCCTCCTCCAAACACGGCGAGTTGAGCTGATGCCAAAGAGCTCCAATTTGGTCTCATCTGACCACAACACTTTTGCCCAGTTCTCCTCTGAATCATTCAGATGTTCATTGACAAACTTCAGACGGGCATGTATATGTGCTTTCTTGAGCAGGGGGACCTTGCGGGCGCTGCAGGATTTCAGTCCTTCACGGCGTAGTGTGTTACCAATTGTTTTCTTGGTGACTATGGTCCCAGCTGCCTTGAGATCATTGACAAGATCCTCCCGTGTAGTTCTGGGCTGATTCCTCACCGTTCTCATGATCATTGCAACTCCACGAGGTGAGATCTTGCATGGAGTCCCAGGCCGAGGGAGATTGACAGTTATTTTGTGTTTCTTCCATTTGCGAATAATCGCACCTACGGTTGTCACCTTCTCACCAAGCTGCTTGGCGATGGTCTTGTAGCCCATTCCAGCCTTGTGTAGGTCTACAATCTTGTCCCTGACATCCTTGGAGAGCTCTTTGGTCTTGGCCAAGGTGGAGAGTTTTGAATCTGATTGATTGATTGCTTCTGTGGACAGGTGTCTTTTATACAGGTAACAAGCTGAGATTAGGAGCACTCCCTTTAATAGTGTGCTCCTAATCTCAGCTCGTTACCTGTATAAAAGACACCTGGGAGCCAGAAATCTTTCTGCTTGAGAGGGGGTCAAATACTTATTTCCCTCATTAAAATGCAAATCAATTTATAACATTTTTGACATGCATTTTTCTGGATTTTGTTGTTGTTATTCTGTCTCTCACTGTTCAAATAAACATACCATTAAAATTATAGACTGATCATTTCTTTGTCAGTGGGCAAACATACAAAATCAGCTGGGGATCAAATACTTTTTTCCCTCACTGTAATAAAAAATAACTTTGACAAACTCCAAAAACGATTGTTAGGCTATTTTCTGGCAATTGTGCAGTTAAGACTACAAACCATAATAAATTGCCTATTTGCGAGATTGACTTATTTCAATAGGCATAGGCTACTGACTAAAATCTGGGTTTATAATTGCAATTCAGCTTTGCCATGGTTTGCTGAGCTAGATGCAGGTAGCCTATAGCCCCTGATAGGCCAACATCTCATTTCAGGGAAAAGTCCACAATGAAACTGACATTAAATGTGGAGAATACTACATTTGCTATAGATCTGTGACCATGATCACAATTTATAACTTCCAATTTAATTAACTAAACATGGCCATTTAATAACTGCATAATAACACAAGGCTACAACAACAATAAACTGAAGTCTAGGTTTGTGGTATATTGGCCATATACCACAAACCCCCAAGGTGCCTTATTGCTATTATAAACTGGTTACCAATGTAATTAAAGCAGTAACAAGAATTTGTCATACCCGTGGTATACGGTCTGATATACCACGGCTGTCAGACAATCAGCATTCAGGGCTCGAACCACCCAGTTTATAAAAATGAATAGCCTACTTGATGGCCAACAGATGCAAATATATCATTCTCCACATTTAATGTCAGTTTCATTGTGGACTTTTCCCCCATAACAGAAGCACGCGAGGGGGTTTCATAACTTCCATTTCAAATGCCATGGCGGCATGGAAGTAGCCCAAAAACCCGAAACTCGCGAGTAATACATTATTACCCGCAACATCGTTTTCAAAGTAGCCCCATTTGGCCGAAAAACAGTGGACATGGCAACCCTGGTACAGACCCCTAGAAATTGTTTGATCGCCCTCTAGTGGCAAAAGTAAGAACTGGCCAAAAAGGCACAGTCGGAGGAGAATAATTATTCTGTCAAGGAAAGGTATATTATATATTTTTGAGTCATACTAAGACAAAAGAAACGTGACACATTGGTGCAGGAAATGAAGAAATTGATAAATGCTGGAATTAAACAATTAACTATGCAAATGAGCAAAAGCTGTGTGCATTAAGGAAATGGATGCCTGGCTCAAATAAAAGCCTGTCTCTGAGTACCTGTTGTCTTCAGTGATTTAAGCAAATAAACGCTGGGGTTTTTAATGGAAGTTTTACGGTAGGCTATTATTTATATATTTTTATTTGTTAATGCTATATACAGGGTCCTATGTACATAAGTGGACATTTTATAAAGGGGCATATTTTTTAAATAAAACAATGGCCAGTTTGGGTTGCAGTTGTATGCACTTGTTTTTGTAAAAACAAACAGTCTGGCCCTCAAATTAGTTTTTGTTTTTTCAGTATGGCCCATGCGGTGATTTGAGTTTGTGATCATTATCCGATGTGGATAACCATAACTGTGTCTTGTCCTGTCGTCCTCCACAGAGAACTACACACTCCTGTCCCGTGTAAGGAACAAGCCCTACGATGTGTTTGGCTGCTGGCTGAACGAAACCCACCTCATCTCTGGCAACCTGCACTGGATCGGCAACATGACCTCCTGCTCTGTGCTCTGGCTCAACAAAGCCTTTCAGGTCAGTCCCATACATGGTCAAAATGTTATGGTTGATAGAGGACAAAACAGTTGTGGAACTATTTATATAGTGACCATTTTGACTGGATCATTGTGTGACTGGTCAAACTGAGATAAATTGTGGATGTCTCTCACACAGAATTGTGAATTGATCAGTTTCTTTGTCTGGGGATATAGTCCATGTCAGCTATCTCTCTCTCTCTCTCCTAGTCACAGCTATCAGCCCCCTAAGTATATTTGCTTAGGTTCCTCCCAGTCTAATGACCTAAATGTATTTTATAGGCATGCATGACCCGTATCCTTTTTCTCCCCAGGACGTGGAGTCTGAGAATGTCAACGTGGTCAAGCGGCTCTTTAAGATCCAGAACATCAACGCCAGCACCATCCGCACCGTGATGGTGGCCCACTGCCGGCGCCACGACTCCCCAGACCTGCTGCTGGACTACGAGGCCCAGGCTCAGAGCCAGCCACTGAGCCACCAGCCCCTGCTCTTTGACCTGGGAACCACTGACAGTGAGGAGGAGGAGGAGGACGAAGAGCGCCGGAGGGAGATGAGACTGCAGGGTTTGTCAGCAGCCCACCTGCCTCAGCTCACCCCCTCTGGGCTAGAGCATGTCATACAGGTGAGCACTCCCAAAGGTTGTGTGTTACAGTAGAGTAGGCCAGTATGAAAACAACATGTATTGCTTTGTAACCAATGGAAAGTCTACGAAGTAGTCTCATTTGGCCACATGCACTATGACTTCATCTCTTTGTCTCCATCTTTATAAGGAATGGGAATTTGACATTATTTCACTATATCATGATATTTTTTCAACTATCCGGATAGTCGAAATTACAACAAATAAAATATAAATGTTCTCAACCAATCAAAATGACACAAATGCACATGGCAGAGGTAAACAGCGGACAGGCTGCTTTTCTCCTCTAGTGAAAAGTCTGATTTTCGCCATGATGGAACTGATTTTGTTAAGGTTTTCTGGTGAGTGTTTTGCATTGATCTGTCTCAGGTCTTGTGCAAACTCTGTTAGCTGCGCCCCTGTAATTGCCATTTGAAGTGGGGAAAATAGCATACAGATCTCAGGGCAGACTGGGGGGCTAATGCCGCGTTCATGTGCTTGTCAGAACTTCCCATTTCCTAGATGTGATGTCGGAAATACGACTGTTTCTTTCATGTGCTTTTTGGCCGGAACAATTGTTCAACCAACAAGATTTTAGCAAGCTTGATAAGCTAGCTAACATTGCTAATAATACAGTTAGCTTGCTTCACATTGACAGTATGGTCAAACTAGCTACATTATCCATATTGATAAGGTTGTAGTAGTTGTCAAAAAAATGTTTCATCTTTTGGTTGAAAAGGTCAGTGGTGAAACGTTGCAACTCGGTCCACTTGTAATTCCGATTTGGAGGGTCGTTCAAGTGAAACTTCCCAGTTGGAACTAGGAATTTCCGATAACTCCGATAGCATGTGAACGTGTCATAAATGCGCAGCAGCAGCTCAACGCATGTTATAAAAACTACATTCAAAATGTTTTATTAAATTAAAGGCCCAGTGCAGTCAAAAACGTGATTTACTGTGTTTTATATACACAGTGTACTAAACATTAATATTGAGTTGCACCCCCTTTTGCCCTCAGAATAGCCTCAATTCGTTGGGGTGTGGAAAGCGTTCCACAGGGATGCTCGCCCATGTTGACTCCAATGCTTCCCCCAGTTGTCGAGTTGGCTGGATGTCCTTTGGGTGGTGCACCATTCTTGATTCACAAGGGAAACTGTTGAATGTGAAAAACACAGCAGTGTTGCAGTGCAGCAGTTTACTGTAGGTATGGTAGTACTGTAGGTTCAAAGGCACTTACATATTTTGTCTTGCCATTCAATCTCTGAATGGCACACATACACGATCCATGTCTCGAGGCTTAAATAGCCTTATTTACCCTGTCTTCTCCCCTTCATCTACACTGATTGAAGTGGATTTAACAAGTGACATCAATAAGGGATGATAGTCAGTCTGTCATGGAAAGAGCATGTTGTTCCCAATGTTTTGTACACTATGAGATTGGAATAATACTGTGAAAATGATGACGATCCCCTTTTAGTGTAAGAGCTGTTTGAAAATGCAGGGTGAAATTTCAGCCTGTTTTGATGGGATTGAGTTTTGGCCTGCCTTGTGACATCACCAGGCGGTACATTCATTAATAGACCAATAAGAGAACATTCCAAACCTCTCTGCCAATAACAGCTAATTTTCAGTCTTCCCCTCCCCACTCAGACCACTCCGATAGTCCTAGCAAAATTCTTGCTTGAGAAATTGCTCTTTGCGAAGAAGCTATTTGTGTTTCTTTTTGACCATTTTAATTGAAAACATTCACAATAAGGTACTTGAAGTGGCAGTAGAAACAATAACAAAGCGGTGTCCCTGCCCCTGGTTTGGTAAAAAGCTGATGGGCCTGGAGAAATGTAACCACTCTCAAATGCATAGACAGAGCTATGGATGTAAGGACTGCCCATCCATGAAATCAAAATGTATAGTTTTAACCATGTTTTGCTATATAGTTTGTAAACAAAGAAAGTATAAACAAACATTGGAGTAAAACAAGCTTATATTTTGGGTTCTGATGACAGTTGAACTAAGCTCATGAGGCAATCTACATTTATATATTCTTTAAAAATCAATGAGTACATATCATTAATTCACAAGTCCAAAAATGGATGTAGCAACTGCTGATTGCCCGTTTAATTGTTACCCAGAAATTATTAGACGTTGACGTTGATGACGTTAAAAGGTCCAATGCAGCCGTTTTAAGTATTTCAAATGTCATGGTATATCCTTTTAGGTAACAATGTCACAAGGATAATTACATTTGTAACAAAGCATTGTCAAAATCTAAAAAAATTACCACCCACTCAAGTAATCTAATACTAACATCCGTTCGGTTATTCGATTAACTGTGCCCATCCCTAATCTTGATTGAGTACTCGCTGACCCTTTCTCCCCTCTCCCTCTGGTGCCCTAGGGTCGTCACAGTGAAGCCCCAGAGGCGAGGGAGCTGGAGACCAAGTGGGCCCAGCTCATGGCTAGAGCCCACACCAAGGCCCCAGACCCCAACGTGCTCTCCTCGGCCCCTGGGGACGAAGAGGACAAGACCTACCTGCTCTTCACCACCGGCAGCCTTACCTACTCCCCCCACCAGATTGGTATCAAGCGGATCATGCCTGACCAGATGACCACGTCTGGGCCTGTCCTGGGAGAGGAGCGCAGCACTGACGAGTTCTTTGACTCTCTGGACCATGTGATCGACATCCACGGCCACATCATCGGCATGGGCCTGTCTCCAGACCACAGGTGAGGGAGTGAATGTTAGTCATGGGCAGCAGTGTGAAGAGGCTGGGTAATTTGGTTGCAAAGCTACAGGTGCAAAGATGTGGCAGGAGGAGTGTACCTGAAACCCCTTGAATAACTGTCATCGTAACCTCATAGTAACTATTTGTCTTGCAAAATCACCTTGCTTTCCTCACTTTGTTTTTAATGCTGAACAAGTACACCTTAACCAAGACCGTCCATGCTGTTGTCCATCTGTCCAGGTATCTGTATGTGAACAGTCGGGCGTGGCCGGCGGGCTGCGTGATCTCTGACCCCATGTCTCCGCCCCCCATTGCCGAGGAGATCGACCTGCACGTCATTGACCTGAAAAGCCTGCGGGAGGAGAGGCGGAGCCTGAGGGCCCACCGAGCCTTCACGCCCAACGACGAGTGCTTCTTCATCTTCCTGGATGTCAGCAGAGACTTTGTGGCCAGGTATGTATGTCACATCTGCTGTAACAGTTACAGGCAGGATGGGGTTACTATGGTTGTGTTTATAAAGAATTTAATATCCCTTTTGCAAAGTTGTCTGTGTAATGATATTGGGCTTTTGTGGCCGATACTAACAGGGAGTAATTGTGTGGATTATATGAAGGACATGTTTGACCATATGCAGATTTCTGATTTGATAACACCATAATCCTGTTCAGAATGTGTCTTATGAAGTTGACAAAATATAATGGAAACCTCAGCTGAGCACAGAAATCACTTACTTTACTAGTCATTCACCAGTGACTTGTCTATCGCTCTCCTCCTAGTGGTGCAGAGGACAAACACGGTTACATCTGGGACCGCCACTACAACATCTGTCTGGCGCGGCTGCAGCACGACGACGTGGTCAACTCAGTGGCCTTCAGCCCGGCTGACCAGGAGCTGCTGCTCTCCGCCAGCGACGACTCCACCATCAAGGTGTGGCGCTCGCCGCGCATGGTCCGCCTGGCCCACGCCCCACGCCCACGCCCACGCAACCTCCTCTCCTGGCTGGGCCGCAACAAGAACGCCACCTCCAACAACGGGGAACTCTGAGACAAGGGGACTGGGGAAAGACTCTTTCATGGTGACGCACACTCCAGGAGTAGCTATCTTCAGTGTGGGCAAATCACACTGTTTTATCTTGAACTCACTATCCACCTAATGACATGTGAGAGCTGGGGTAAGCCACAAGGAGGCGCAACAGTCCTCTCCATAAATGTCCTTTTGAAAGGTGACACCTAGCAAGGTGAATTGCTTCTAAGGTGAAGATCATACCCTACAGGCAAGTTCCTCCTGGACCTTTGCAAAGTCTGGGGGGAATGACATTTATTTGTTATAATGATCATGTTTCCAATTCAGGAGAGAAAATGATAGTTTGTTCATTGAAGGAAGAGGAGAGATGTGGACACTAAAATATGGTCAAAGATTACCCCATATCTGGTCTTGTCTTCGGTTTTTAAGTCTTTCGCTCTGTGTGTGTGTATGTATGTCTGTATACACGTGTTTGTATATATTCTTTCACGTTTTTTAATGTTGGGTTGTACTATCACATCAGTGATGTCATGATTGCAGAGCTGAGGACGTCTGAAATTACCTATCCCAGTTCGTCATGCATTATCATTTTATTGTGCATTGAAACATATTGTAAAATTAAGTTAAATGTCTTGCTGTTTCATTTTTTTCCTCCACTGGCTATTCTGCAACTTTACGCCAGCTTTGAGTGAACTTTAAAAATAAATAAGAAATTCCTATCACTTTCATGATAGGTTCAATCTGTGAGTAAGTTGCCAAACACACAAGTATTCAACCAAAGACTGAGATTCTCAACATTAAGTCACCACAATTTCATATCAATAATTTCTTTAGGACAGATGCAAAATAAGTTTTATTGTCAAGAGATCCATTATGTCTCAGGTTCAGCTACTTTTCTTTTTTTTTTTTTACAGTCAGTTATTTGGTTGTATCAGGTATAGGACTGTGACGATCATGACATTTTGTCAGCTGGTTGTCATGCAACTGACTGCCAGTCTCACGGTAATGGACCGTTAATTAACAAACAGGTTCAGCATCTCCATGCATACAACCTGCTACAAGCCGCTGATGCAAGCCTTTGGAACATCTACGTTTAAAAAAAGTAACAAAACCATTTAATATATACCATCACAATAAATCCATGTATTTTAGGCAGGTCTAAAGAAACATGATATGAAGGAAATGAGTTGGCCTACTCTATATGTTATTTGGCTATGGGCCAGGCCGTAGGCTAGTTAATTTAGCAGACAGGATATGCTTAAGTTCCGTGCCATTTTATGATTTTATAGTAAGAATATAATTGAACTTAGCTGAATAAAATAAAGGATATTTTTCCCATTCCAGTGTGCATATGAAGTGGCTATGTTGAGTGTGAAGGTGATCATTTGAAATAGGTCCTATACACTAGATTGAGTTATTTGGCAACTTTAGTTGTGAATGATACAAAACTTAATGTCTTAAAAATCAAAACATATGGGCTGCATGATGCGACTACAGAATATTGATGATTTGAGAAAAAGAGAAAAAAGCCTGCACTCTGCTCCTTGCCTCAGGTTGCACATGCTGTTCTCTCATCAAGTGATAATATTTTCAATCAGGCTATTCTCAATTTAATCTCGTCTTTACTAAAATGTGAAATTAGTTGAGATTTAGAATGTCCAATTATCAAATTGGCAGGGGAAAAAAGACATGATCCTTATGCCCTCCAATAGCAAATGGAGGCAGCTTTCCCGATGCCAGGTAGGCTCCTCCCATTTTATAGTGAAGCATGTGCTTAATATAAACAGCTGAAGAATAACTATAGTAGCAGCTGGGATCCTCCTCTTTTTAGTGGCAACCATCAAAACTCTGCTTTCACACACAATTGCATATAGAAATGTCTTGGCTTAAAATAACACTTATTTCACTCCAAGCATCACTGTTCAAGGAGCATGCAGCCTCTCACTGCACAACAGATAATATTCTGCCCAAAATCTGTATCCCATGGGCTCTCCAACCCTGTTCCTGCAGCTAGCCAGTGCTTACATTTGGGAAACCAAGTGATATCTGTTCAGGAACATCGTTAGTAAAATGTTTTCCCAACTAAACATATTTCATTAAACTGCACAATCAATGAACCAACAACATCGCTGAGGCCTATATGCTCTCTCCCAGACTCAAGGATAGAAAGTTTGGAGCATAGCATAAGGTAACCAGTCCATCCAGCATGCGTAATAATACAGTCCACACTCAAAGGCGATTACTAGAATTTGTTTAATTTTGGAGTATAGGCCAAGTATGTACCAAAGACAGCTTACTTTTACAAATTATTTGTAAATGTTTTTCTGCCATGTGTAATATGAGGTAGGCTATTAGTTGAATAATGACAATCAATTTAATTCAGGGTTTTTTTCTCCTCCTATCTTTTCTATCATATACAGGCCTATGCATATTGACAATCCGCTAATATGGGTATGGGTGTCCATTTCGTTGTTAGGCTTTGAAACAACATCCACAATGACCATGTTTTCCACTCATTGTCTACCTGTTGTAGAACTTCTTTCTTCAAAATGGATTGATCACAGTGAGGTGAGTTTTAAACGCATGATACAGCTTTGATAAGTGTTTGATGTGCTTTTCGATTGCATTTGCATTGTCAGAGTGGTTAGAGCAGCGTTTCCCAAACTCGGTCCTCAGGACCCCAAGGGGTGCACGTTTCAAATGATCAAAGCTTGATGATTAGTTAAATCAGCTGTGTAGTGCTAGGGCAAAAACCAAAACGTGCACCCCTTGGGGTCCCCGAGGACCGAGTTTGGGAAACGCTGGGTTAGAGGGACAATAGACCGCTGAGTACCAGGCCATTGGCGACCTGACAGTGTAGGTTGGTGGAAATCCCCATCATTGAGAATGAGGGGTCATCATTCTGTAGATGTGTGGAAATTATCCAACCATTATTTAGAATAAACTACATTTATCAATCTGACTCCAATATTATGTGAATAAATCCAACAGGCCCTGTACGTCTCTGAAGGAATCTAGTCAAGGTAGTGACCCTTACATCACCTCTCAGTATGACTATAATGAACATGTCTAACTTGCACTGTTATGCGATTATTACTAGATACAAATAGCTAATCCTGGCGACCAATGTTCTAGCATTAATTTATTGACGCAAGCAGATCAGAGATGTCAAGGTGGTACCCAAGCATGTGCTAAGTGTATAGTGTATTTAACAACTACCAATAAGCCAAAATTATAAGCGTATAGTCAAATTATTACTCTGTCAGCAATTTTTTTGCAAAGATCACAACCAAACAACCTTAGCGACTGTTCAAGCAAGAATAAAAAATAATAATTCTAACCGTATGAGAACCTCAAAGTGATTTTGTTTAGAAGTAATAACGTAAATCTAGGCTATATAGAATGGGCGCAGATGGCGATGGCTTTCTTACTGCCGCCAAGAGTCGCACGCATCTGTGCGTGACGTCAGTGTATTGTCTACTGGAAAAGGGTCTACAGTGGCCTGCGAATGTATTCACCCCCCTTGGCATTTTTCCTATTTTGTTGCCTTACAACCTGGAATTAAAATAGATTTTAAAGGGGGGGGTTTGTATCATTTGATTTACACAACATGCCTACCACTTTGAAGATGCAAAAAAATTTTTGTATTGTGAAACAAACAAGAAATAACAAAAAAACAACTTGAGCGTGCATAACTATTCACACCCCCAAAGTCAATACTTTGTAGAGCCACCTTTTGCAGCAATTACAGCTGCAAGTCTCTTGGGGTATGTCTCTATAAGCTTGGCAACATCTAGCCACTGGGATTTTTGCCCATTCTTCAAGGCAAAACTGCTCCAGCTCCTTCAAGTTGGATGGGTTCTGCTGGTGTACAGCAATCTTTAAGTCATACCACAGATTCTCAATTGGATTGAGGTCTGGGCTTTGACTAGGCCATTCCAAGACATTTAAATGTTTCCCCTTAAACCACTCGAGTGTTGCTTTAGCAGTATGCTTAGGGTCATTGTCCTGCTGGAAGGTGAACCTCCGTCCCAGTCTCAAATCTCTGGAAGACTGAAACAGGTTTCCCTCAAGAATTTCCCTGTATTTAGCACCATCCATCATTCCTTCAATTCTGACCAGTTTCCCAGTCCCTGCCGATGAAAAACATCCCACACAGCATGATGCTGCCACCACCATGCTTCACTGTGGGGATTGTGTTCTCGGGGTGATGAGAGGTGTTGGGTTTGCGCCAGACATAGCATTTTCCTTGATGGCCAAAAAGCACCAATTTTAGTCTTATCTGAACAGAGTACCTTCTTCCATATGTTTGGGGAGTCTCCCACATGGCTTTTGGCAAACACCAAATGTGTTTGCTTATTTGTTTCTTTAAGCAATGGCTTTTTTCTGGCCACTCTTCCATAAAGCCCAGCTCTGTGGAGTGTACGGCTTAAAAGTGGTCCTATGGACAGATACTCCAATCTCCGCTGTGGAGCTTTGCAGCTCCTTCAGGGTTATCTTTGGTCTCTTTGTTGCCTCTCTGATTAATGCCCTCCTTGCCTGGTCCGTGAGTTTTGGTGGGCGGCCATTATTTTTTAATAATGGATTGAATGGTGCTCCGTGGAATGTTCTAAGTTTCTGATATCTATTTATAACCCAATTCTGATCTGTACTTCTCCACAACTTTGTCCCTGACCTGTTTGGAGAGCTCCTTGGTCTTCATGGTGCCGCTTGCTTGGTGGTGCCCCTTGCTTAGTAGTGTTGCAGACTCTGGGGCCTTTCAGAACAGGTGTATATATACACTGAGATCATGTGACACTTAGATTGCACACAGGTGGACTTTATTTAACTAATTATGTGACTTCTGAAGATAATTGGCTGCACCAGATCTTATTTAGGGGCTTCATAGCACAGGGGGTGAATACATATGCACGAACCACTTTTCCTTTTTTTCATTCCACTTCACCAATTTGGACTATTTTGTGTATGTCCACTACATGAAATAAATAAAAAAATCCATTTAAATTACAGGTTGTAATGCAACGAAATAGGAAAAACACCAAGGGGGATGAATACTTTTGCAAGGCACTGTATACCTACTTACATTTTGAAAGCTAATAGATTGCATTTAGTTACATAATTGTAATCAGAAGATAACAATAATATTTACATGTTAATAGTAACAGAATACATAGCAGAAGAATAACTGCAGATTAAATTGAAAGTTGTACACCCATAGGCTACTGCCCCTTTAAGAGCTAGAATCGATTTTGTACCCCATGTTGTGATTCTCACCAAATATGTTGTCTTCTCACACTATTCAAACCCCACAAGCGAATAAACAGCTTCTGAAGCTCTCTTTATAGATCACATACTGTAAACAAATAATCTGAACTAAAAACTCCACACATATTTTTGAATTTCTGTGCATCCGTGACAATCGTTAATCAATATCCCAAAACAGCACGTTTCTTTCTGAGAACCTGCACATCATCATCTTCCCTCTTGTGTGGTTCCAATGTGAGGGGTTATGGCAGAGGAAACCGTGTTGCAGTATTCTATTGTCTGGTGCAGGAATAATGACAAGTGAACCTGGGGAGCTTTGTGTTCACCTTGCCATAAAAAAGGGAACCAGACAGAGGAACCGAACTCAGACCACCTCTCGAGATGGTCTCAGTTCGGTTCGCTTCGGGGGCTCTTTAGAGGGGTAAAAATTGTCTGAAAGGGACCAAGTGTGAAAACACCTTAAGATGACTCAATGGTCAAGTGGAATTTTACTGCCGGTGTGGCAGTAATAAGGTCACTTCAACAGCCCTAATCAAGTACAGTAGTACTATGTCATTAAGGTATTTTGCTTCAACTACTACAATGACAACCAGATGATAACTATTTTTGCTATAGTATTGCAACATTATTTTGTATCATATCACATTGTCAACACTTGCTAAAGTGAGACTTGACTTTCCCCCAATTTTTTTGGAACATAGTTCACACACCAAGAAAACCTGCATGTGCAATAAAATTATTATTATTATTTTTTTTTTTGTCATTTAGCAAACGGTCTTATCCAGAGCGACTTACAGGAGCAATTAGGATTAAGTGCCTTGCTCAAGGGCACAGACAGATTTTTCACCTAGTTGGCTCGGGGATTAGAACCAGCAACCCTTCGGTTACTGGCACAACACTCTTAACCACTAAGCTACCTGCCGCCTCAGGTAACAACTAAATGTAACAAAGATCACTGTTACATAAAACTTCTCCCTTAAATTGACAGAATGTTGTAACTAAAGAAAAGATTCATACTAGATCTACGTTTAGGCCGTCATTGTAAATAAGAATTTGTTCTTAACTGACTTGCCTAGTTAAATACAGTGGGGGAAAAAAGTATTTAGTCAGCCACCAATTGTGCAAGTTCTCCCACTTAAAAAGATGAGAGGCCTGTAATTTTCATCATAGGTACACGTCAACTATGACAGACAAATTGAGAAAGAAAAATCCAGAAAATCACATTGTAGGATTTTGAATGAATTTATTTGCAAATTATGTTGGAAAATAAGTATTTGGTCACCTACAAACAAGCAAGATTTCTGGCTCTCACAGACCTGTAACTTCTTCTTTAAGAGGCTCCTCTGTCCTCCACTCGTTACCTGTATTAATGGCACCTGTTTGAACTTGTTATCAGTAGAAAAGACACCTGTCCACAACCTCAAACAGTCACACTCCAAACTCCACTATGGCCAAGACCAAAGAGCTGTCAAAGGACACCAGAAACAACATTGTAGACCTGCACCAGGCTGGGAAGACTGAATCTGCAATAGGTAAGCAGCTTGGTTTGAAGAAATCAACTGTGGGAGCAATTATTAGGAAATGGAAGACATACAAGACCACTGATAATCTCCCTCGATCTGGGGCTCCATGCAAGATCTCACCCCGTGGGGTCAAAATGATCACAAGAACGGTGAGCAAAAATCCCAGAACCACATGGGGGGACCTAGTGAATGACCTGCAGAGAGCTGGGACCAAAGTAACAAAGCCTACCATCAGTAACACACTACGCCGCCAGGGACTCAAATCCTGCAGTGCCAGACGTGTCCCCCTGCTTAAGCCAGTACATGTCCAGGCCCGTCTGAAGTTTGCTAGAGTGCATTTGGATGATCCAGAAGAGGATTGGGAGAATGTCATATGGTCAGATGAAACCAAAATATAACTTTTTGGTAAAAACTCAACTCGTCGTGTTTGGAGGACAAAAATGCTGAGTTGCATCCAAAGAACACCATACCTACTGTGAAGCATGGGGGTGGAAACATCATGCTTTGGGGCTGTTTTTCTGCAAAGGGACCAGGACGACTGATCCGTGTAAAGGAAAGAATGAATGGGGCCATGTATCGTGAGATTTTGAGTGAAAACCTCCTTCCATCAGCAAGGGCATAAAGATGAAACGTGGCTGGGTCTTTCAGCATGACAATGATCCCAAACACACCACCCGGGCAACGAAGGAGTGGCTTCGTAAGAAGCATTTCAAGGTCCTGGAGTGGCCTAGCCAGTCTCCAGATCTCAACCCCATAGAAAATCTTTGGAGGGAGTTGAAAGTCCGTGTTGCCCAGCGACAGTCCCAAAACATCACTGCTCTAGAGGAGATCTGCATGGAGGAATGGGCCAAAATACCAGCAGCAGTGTGTGAAAACCTTGTGAAGACTTACAGAAAACGTTTGACTTGTGTCATTGCCAACAAAGGGTATATAACAAAGTATTGAGAAACTTTTGTTATTGACCAAATACTTATTTTCCACCATAATTTGCAAATAAATTAATTAAAAATCCTACAATGTAATTTTCTGGATTTTTCTTTCTCATTTTGTCTGTCATAGTTGACGTGTACCTATGATGAAAATTACAGGCCTCTCATCTTTTTAAGTGGGAGAACTTGCACAATTGGTGGCTGACTAAATACTTTTTTTCCCCACTGTAAAGGTAAAAACTAAAATGTTAAAAATAAACATAAAAATAAAAATTAACACATGCAGAAACTTAATCATATCATAAATGCTTTAGTAAATCACACATAGATAACGAATGTCCCAGAATAATGTTAAGTGTAGGCGATCTACTTGTAGCATATGTTAATGTTAAGATCTATATTGTCTTATTTCACTCTACACTAGAAAGATAAGGATAACCTGTCACAAGTAAATAACATTCAGAAACACTCCATTGCTATAGTCAATACAATTGCTTACATCATGGATGGGCAACTTTAATGGGGGTGGGGGCCACAAAAAAAAACAAACAGAACTTATCATGAGGGGCCACAGTGGCTCATGGGTCTGTGTACCCACATCCACACCACCCACCAATTTCCATTTTTTTATTGGTCTGCGGGCCTACAAAAGGGGACCGCGGGCTGCCAGTTGCCCATAGCTTGCTAACGGTTATTTATGAACGAGCTCACTATCTAGAAATAAGCTTGTTATTTGAGAGTAAAGATGCATTTAGTATTTGAAAAGAGAAGGAGCTTCCTCAGCTTATCGCTTTATAACATAGTTATCTTATATAATTAATTTATCATATGATAGTATATTATATGATAATGTATTGAATCATATCTTTACTTTATATGTCTATGCTGTGGTGTACTTAAACAGTAGAGTATATACAGTGGATTCGGAAAGTATTCAGACCCCTTCCCTTTTTCCACATTGTTACGTTACAGCTTTATTCTAAAATGGATTAAATAAATAAAAATCCTCATCAATCTACACACAATACCCCATAATGACAAAGCGAAAACAGGTTTTTAGACATTTTTGCAAATGTATAAAAAATTAAAAACAGAAATAACTTATTTACATAAATATTCAGACACTTTGCTATGAGACTCGAAACTGAGCTCAGGTGCATCCAGTCTCCATTGATCATCCTTGAGATGGTTCTACTACTTGATTGGAGTCCACCTGTGGTAAATTCAATTGATTGACATGATTTGGAAAGGCACACACCTGTCTATAAGGTCCCACAGTCCGCTTGGAGTTTGCCAAAATGCACCTAAAGGACTCTCAGTCCATGAGAAACAAGATTCTCTGGTCTGATGAAACCAAAATTGAACTCTTTGGCCTGAATGCCAAGCATCACGTCTGGAGAAAACCTGGCACCACAGCCTCATGCTGTGGGGATGTTTTTCAGCGGCAGGGACTGGGAGACTAGTCAGAATCGAGGGAAAGATGAACGGAGCAAAGTACAGAGAGATCCTTAATGAAAACCTGCTCCAGAGCGCTCAGGACCTCAGACTGGGGCGAAGGTTCACCTTCCAACAGGACAACGACCCTAAGCACACAGCCAAGACAACGCAGGAGTGGCTTTGGCACAAGTCTCTGAATGTCCTTGAATGGCCCAGCCAGAGCCTGAACCCGATCAAACATCTCTGGAGAGACCTGAAATTAGCTGTGCAGCAACGCTCCCCATCCAACCTGACAGAGCTTGAGAGGATCTGCAGAGAAGAATGGGAGAAGCTTCCCAAATACAGGTGTGCCAAGCTTGTAGCGTCATACCCAAGAAGACTCTAGGCTGTAATCGCTGCCAAAGGTCTTTCAACAAAGTACTAAGTAAAGGGTCTGAATACTAATGTAAATGTGATATTTCAGTTTTATTTTTAATACATTTGCAAACATTTCTAAAAACCTGTTTTTGCTTTGTCATTGTGGGGTATTGTGTGTAGATTGATGAGTGGAAAAAACTATTTGATCAATTTTAGAATAAGGCTGTAACGTAACAGAATGTGGAAAAAGTCAAGGGGTCTGAATACTTTCCAAATGCTGTGTGTGTGTGTGTGTGTGTGTGTGTGTGTGTGTGTGTGTGTGTGTGTGTGTGTGTGATATATATATTTAGAGGCAGTGGTTATCTAGCCGGCTAACAGCATTAGAAGGAAAAAGTATATTTTGCTGGTAAGGCTTCTCATTTTCTAGTGAAGAATACTTTAGCAAAAATGTTTATAAACATTAGCTAGTTAGTGAATAATGATACTGATCTATTAAAATCTGTGAGAAATAGGCTGAGCGAGAGGGCCCATAGAGCCCCACAGTGGAGGGAAAATAGTTCCAATCGTTTTTCCACCACTTATTTTTCCCATAGGGGATTTTAGAAACAATTCAGCCAATTTATTTATTCCTACATTCCGCTAACATTAGTTAATCCAAAGATTATTACCATTGCCACGATTCAGCAGTTTCGTCCAGATCATCATGGCATTTGAACTCCTTTATGATAGCCACATTAGCAGCTAATTAGCATATAATCTTTGGGGGGTAAATACAGGCGGACATATTTAAAAAAAGTCACCTTGTCCTAGAGAGATTTACACAGTTATCAAAACATCACGCCAGGGTAAGCCTACCGGTACATGAAACCCAGCCCTTATTTTAAGTGTTTCTAAAATCCCCTATGGGAAAAATGAATGGTGAAAAAACAAATGGAACCATTTCCCTGTTTAACTGCTAAGTTTTATGGGTATTATGACTCATACTGTGGTACTCTATTCAAGCATTGGTTCAGTTCGCCACAATTTGCATGTTCATGTAAAGGATTTTGAGACTTTTATTCATTCAAGGCAATGGTGTCCAATCCACTGATCTCTCTTTTTGTTACCAGTGAAGGGCCCTCCATTGCCCCATATGTGAGATCTATTTCTGACATCCACTATAAGTTACTGTAACTATTACTTTACCTATTACAGCGTGAACTATGGTGAACAATACGTCACTCATAGATGGCCCATATGGGGAGGGCTAGACCCTCCGTTGCAATCTGATTACCAATATGTTGAAAATCCCCTGTAAATGCCTTATCATGCAACTGGTGGTACCTCCTGCACACTTGATGGTTCACAAATGTGACTCCCAGTGCCTTCAATGAATACATTCACAATATCTATATAATCCTGCAGATCTGGTGAATGGACCGAATGCTTGAGATTATTTTTGACCAACCTGAGAGAATGAAAGTTTCCATTAGCTGGCTAAATAGACACTGCCTAGAGTATACTTATAATTATATTATTTAATGGTATTATATAATGTAATGTATTATTTTATGGTATGGCCATAAGTCATCATTTTGTGTGTTCTTCTGCTTTTTAGGCCTTTGACTACCACTTCCACAGTTTCAACAGGCCTTTGACTTCCACAGTCGCTACAGGCCTGTGAGGTCTACAATGGCCTTGATGAAAATTGTGTCATCCCTAAGGTAGGAACTCTTGCCTGCCAGTTTAGCCAATGGGCAGAAGAGTGGGCAGCCACTGGCTATGTTCATCTCACTGATTGGTCGCTGGAAAGAGGTGGAGCTTACATCGGGCCGGAACGCATCAATGATATGCTCCCTGTTATTCTGATCCAGCAGCATCAGTGTCACCTACAGGGAACGAGGAAAGAGGATGGAGACTTAATATATATATATATTTTTTTTATAATGCATTTTGTTGTAGTTACTTATGTTAGATACAGGTAACAGACAAAATAAAGGAAACACAAACATAAAAGTGTTATAATAGGGCGTTGGGCCACCACAAGCTGCTAGAACAGCTTCAATGCACCTTGGCATAGATTCTAGTACCTGGAACTCTATTGGGAAGCACCTGCTTTCAATATACTTTGTATCCCTTATTTACTCAAGTCTTACCTTCTGACTGAAGGGCCATTTGAGAAGAGCGTCACACTTGCCCCTCATCACCACGAAGAAAAGAGAAAGGTGTGTCCCTCGACCCGTTCCGTCCCCATTCAGATAAAGTCTCAGACACATCTTATAGCCATATTTACTCGAGTAGAATGCTATGGGAGAAGAGGAACTATATTAGACTCACAGTATGTGCTTCTTTGACTTATTGAGTCACTTGTGGTAAAATTGAGGGCATGCTTGTGGAATTACATTGCCATAAATGTGCATTTCCATAGAGTATGGTATACTTATGATACACTAAAGAGCAAGGACATAAAGATATCAAATCCTATTTTCCTAAATTAAAATAGAACGATTATCAAGTCAAATCCAGTCAACTTGTAACTGCAGGCCTTAAGGACTGGTGAATAACATAAAAATCAAATAATCAAGGCAGATCTAACCTGGTGAGAACATAGCAGGTGTTCGTCCGGCCACAGCGTCCTGGCGGCGGCGTGAGAAGTCAGCGATCTTCCAGACAAAGACACCATCAAACGTGCAAAACTGGAGTTCTCTCAGAGTCTGGTCTGTCTCAGCCAGTTGTAGGTCCCGCATGGTAAGAGTACGCTCTAGTTGACGTACCTTGTTGCTGAGGTTCTCAATCTTGTCTTGGTCTAGACGATGTTGCCGTGAGAAGGCCTCTAAAGTGAGAGAACTCCTCTCCACTTCTCTGTTCAGTACACACACTATATTCTCCAGTGCTGTCACCTGCAGCACCACAACACAGAGAATACAATGAAGACAAGTCCTTCATTATGTGTTACTGCATCTGCAACATCTCTGTATGGATTAGTATTCAGGCCATCTGTAAGAGTTCAATAACAAGTAGGATGCCAATCTGTTTTATCATTTAACAGCTTGGTTGTCATTGTCCTGCTAAACAAGGGAAGCAAAAAACAAAAAAAAGACCAACAGAATAGCTTCTGTAGTATTTCCTATTCATCAAATGCATCAGACCAAATGTTTTACATTTTAGTCATTTAGCAGACGCTCTTATCCAGAGCAACTTACAGTTAGTGAGTGCATACATTTATATACTGGCTCCCGTGGGAAACGAACCCACAACCCTGGCGTTGCATGCGCCATGCTCTACCAACTGAGCTACACGGGACAAATGAAGCCCACCTTGTGATCAAGGCCACACATCTGTCCAGAGGCAGCAGCTCCTCCCCCAGCTGTGGCTGCAGTAGCTGTGGCTCCATCCTCAGGAGCGCGGTACAGGCCCAGCCCAGAGTCCTCCTGCCACTCCCCCGACCCTGGGGCCTCTGGACGCTGAAGACGCACCATAGACATCAGCGCCAGGATCAGACGCATGTGCTCCATGACACTAGTCTGCTCGTGGTCACTGTGTTTCCCATTATCAATCTGTGGTGACACAACACAAGGCATTTAGCACATTGAGTTAAATAGTCTGTATCATACTGTTCAGTGTCAATTTTAGATGCCCTTCAATATTGAGATTCAAGCTGGAATTAAATTGTAGGGGACTGCACATAAAGCTCATAGAGCATTTACTCTCAAAACACTAGATGTCTCATTAGACGTCTCTCTTTTGAGGGTGTGTCTAATACCCAAGAAAATACACTACATGACCAAAAGTATGTGGACACGTGCTCGTCAAACATCTCATTCCAAAGTCACGGGCATTAAAATTGGAGTTGGTCCCCCCTTTGCTGCTATAACAGCCTCCACTCTTCTGGGAAGGCTTTCCACTAGATGTTGGAACATTGCTGCGGGGACTTGCTTCCATTCAGCCACAAGAGCATTAGTGAGGTCAGGCACTGATGTTGGGAGATTATGACTGGCTTCGCAGTCGGTGTTCTAATTCATCCCAAAGGTGCTCGATGGGGTTGAGGTCAGGGCTCTGTGCAGGCCAGTCAATTTCTTCAACACTGATCTCGACAAACCATTTCTGTATGGACCTCGCTTTGTGTACGCGGGTATTGTCATGCTGAAACAGGACATGGCCTTCCCAAACCTTTGCCACAAAGTTGGAAGCACAGAATCGTCTAGAATATCATTGTATCGCTGTAGCGTTAAGATTTCCCTTCACTGGAACTAAGGGGCCTAGCCCGAACCATGAAAAACAGCCCCAGACCATTATTCCTCCTCCACCAAACCTTACAGCTGCATTGGGGCAGGTAGCATTCTCCTGGCATCCGCCAAACCCAGATTTGTCCGTTTAGACTGCCAGATGGTGAAGCGTGATTAATCACTCCAGAGAACGCGTTTCCACTGCTCCAGAGTCCAATGGTAATGAGCTTTACACCACTCCAGCCGACGAACAGTTCTTGTGCTGACGTTGCTTCCAGAGGCAGTTTGGAACTCGGTAGTGAGTGTTGCAACCGAGGACAGACGATTTTTGCGGGATACGCGCTTTAGTACTCAGCGTTCCCGTTCTGTGAGCTTGTGTGGCCTACCACTTCGCGGCTGAGCCGTTGTTGCTCCTAGACGTTTCCACTTCACACTAACATCACTTACAGTTGACCGGGGCAGCTCTAGCAGGGCAGAAATGTGACGAACTAACTTGTTGGAAAGGTTGGCATCCTATGATGGTGCCACATTGAAAGTCACTGAGCTCTTCAGTAAGGCCATTCTACTGACAATGTTTTTCTATGGCGATTGCGTCGCTGTGTGCTCGATTTTATACACCTGTCAGCAACGGGTGTGTCTGAAATAGCCAAATCCACGAATTTAAGGGGTGTCCACATACACTATATATACAAAAGTATCTAAATCAGAGAAGTTATTTTTGCACCCCAACAATGGGCAGGTAGATGTTTGATAATGCTGTACGTACTACTACGTTGGATACTACTTGTACCTCAACCAAGAAGTTGCCACAAAGTTGTTATCCTCACAGTTTCTGTTTTGTCTGTCTGTACAATTGTCTAACTATAAAGGTCTAAATATAAACCAGACAATCAACAGAAAATTGTTCACTGTCTGCACGACATGGAGTACTCACAGTACAATAGTCAAGGTGACTCAGAAACATAAGAGGAAAGAGGGGATTGTTCTTGATCTACAAGGCTACACAGTTTTCCATATTTATTTGACTGTCAAATGAGGTCAGGTCATAGGAAAATACAGAGAAGAACAAACCAGATTCCTCTGACAAACAAGAAATAGTATTCAAGAGCTGTCTGGGACATTACAATCAAAGATATGCATTTTTCAAATATCTAAGAAGGCCATCATCATATACTGTAGATAAAACCTTATCTGATTAGATATAATTGATATGCTATACGCACAACAGCCTTGCAGCCGACCTCACTGAATGGACATGCAGTCTTAGACTTGGCACAGGATCTGCTGTGATCTAGAAACTGCAGGGAGAGAACAGAAAGAGAAAGATCAGGGTTATGGAGATTAATGGGGGCTTAACCATGAAAATAACCTTCATTATTTCAAATGTGAAAGTAGATGACTGTTGAGACAGAATAAAATAACCTAAGTTCAAAGGGCCAACTCAAACGTAAAGTGCAACTACCTTCTTAGTTGTGTCATGAGAACTTCATAGTGAGACCTACTTCTACTAAAGGGTGATAAATTAGTCTGTTCATGCTCTGGCCTACTCCTCTTGACTAGGCAATAATGTATATTTATTGAAAGCAGAAACTGTATAGAACCAAGGCTGATAAGATACGATTAATTGACCTAGAAAGCAAACCAAATTAAGACTTTCAAAAGGACACAGTAGAGGACAGACCTTTTCCCGTGGGATCTTTTTCTTTCCACAGTCCTTGCACTGCATGGGAAACTTCTGGCAGATTTCATCATGAGCCTATAATACATCAGGAGTGGGAGTAGGTATGAGAATATCAGTTCATCTCAGAATAAACACATTCCATAACCATCTCATCAGAATCTGAATCTCTGGAGTACTGTAGGCCATTGGTGTTCTCCAGATAAGCGTCTCACCTTGATTTCCTTGAAGTTGAAGGAGACTTTGCAGTACTTGCAGTTCAATGTCCTTGCTTCACATTCTCTCTCGTTGTGCTTCTCTTTTTCACTGCGCAGGATGAGGGCCTGGCAGGCTTCACATGGTAACCGCTCATACTCACACTTGCCCTCGTGTTGTGCCTGGGAAATAAAAACAAAGACAGTTTTACTACTGACCATTTGCAGAAACGTGTACCGGTGTTAACCCAATGGAGTCCCACCATAATGCTGGTGCATTTTGGACTTCTAACCACTTTTAAACATAATGTGTTTGAGCTACAGACGTCTGGTTTGTACCATTGGATTTCTTCTGCATCCATAGATACCAACCATTAATCTGTGTGACAGGGGCTGGACGAGAGCGGTGTTTGTGAGACAAGGGCGGATCCCGAAGGGGCCCGGGGCTGGGTCTTGTTTTACAAAAATGTCTGTAGAGTCCGAATGGTTTGAGCTACAAAATATTAAAAGCTATCTATGAAAAGCTGAGACTCTCACCAACATGCAACATGTTTTGCTCTGACGCTCACAAGCTACACAAGAGTTGTTAGAAGGTAAGGGGTTCTTCTACATAGATCATAGGAAATCCCAGGACATAATGTCTATAATACTGTAATTAGCTCACATAGTTCCTGTCACAAACTCCACACAGTTGTCACTGACTAGTTGGGTATTCATTTCCCAGTGAGCAAACAATTTCTGTACTTCCAGCATTCATATAAATTCATTTTTATCAGGTTTTTGCTTTGGCGAACCTTATTATTTTATTGACATGTGTCAATAAAACTCATGAATGCAAGTGTTTATGTCAAATTGTTTTGTGTTCTACTTGTAGCCCTGGTTGTCCTGAAAAGAAAATGGTAAAATACTTAATTGTGAGGCTAAATATTAGGGCTGGACAAATGAAGGTCAGATAAATGAAAAGCCTATTTTTGCTGGGGTCTCGGGACTGAAGGGGTTAAGAAAAGGCAACCAAAACCAGCCACTGTAGTCTGTGTTAATCTATATCCTGTTTTAAGATTGAGCGTGCAAGATATCAATTTCCTTGTCAAACTTAATGTCAATGGATATTCCTGACACAAAAGGAGTGGTTTTAAAGCGAATGCCATTTAGAAGTAATTAAGCTGAGCCAGTTCAGAAAGAAAACCAGAGTGCCCCGCCTCACACTGACACATCAGCTGAGATTTACATTTACATCATTTAGCAGACGCTCTTATCCAGAGCGACTTACAAATTGGTGCATTCACCTTATGATAGCCAGTGGGACAACCACTTTTTTTTTATTTTTTTTATGGGGGGGTGGGGGAGGGGGGGGGGGTATAATAATTACTTTTATACTATTCCAGGTATTCCTTAAAGAGGTAGGGTTTCAAGTGTCTCCGGAAGGTGGTCAGTGACTCCGCTGTCCTGGCGTCGTGGGGGAGCTTGTTCCACCATTGGGGTGCCAGAGCAGCGAATAGCTTTGACTGGGCTGAGCGGGAACTGTGCTTCCGTAGAGGTAGGGGGATAGCAGGCCAGAGGTGGATGTACGTAGTGCCCTCGTTTGGGTGTAGGGTCTGATCAGAGTCTGAAGGTAAGGAGGTGCCGTTCCCCTCACAGCTCCGTAGGCAAGCACCATGGTCTTGTAGTAGATGCGAGCCTCAACTGGAAGCCAGTGGAGTGTGCGGAGGAGCGGGGTGACATGAGAGAACTTGGGAAGGTTGAACACCAGACGGGCTGCATCTGGTGTAGGGGTTTAATGGCACAGGCAGGGAGCCCAGCCAACAGCGAGTTGCAGTAAACCAGACGGGAGATGACAAGTGCCTGGATTAGGACCTGTGCCGCTTTCTGTGTAAGGTAGGGTCGTACTCTGCGAATGTTGTAGAGCATGAACCTGCAGGATCGGGTCACCGCTTTGATGTTAGCGGAGAACGACAGGGTGTTGTCCAGGGTCACACCAAGCTTCTTTGCACTCTGGGAGGAAGACACAATGGAATTGTCAACCGTGATGGCGAGATCATGGAGCGGGCAGTCCTTCCCCGGGAGGAAGAGCAGCTCCGTCTTGCCGAGGTTCAGCTTGAGGTGGTGATCCGACATCCACACTGATATGTCTGCCAGACATGCAGAGATGCGATTCGCCACCTGGTTATCAGAAGGGGGAAAGGAGAAACTGAATTGTGTGTTGTCTGCGTAGCAATGATATATGGTGGTACCAATTCGAGGAGAGTATTAATCATGCCTATCCAGAGCTTTCCCAGATATTACCGCGCCCTGTCGGAGCTTGATGTTGGCTAAACAACCTATCCCCTCTATTCAGGATTGGCCAGTGGTTAGAATCCTAGAGGTCCTCTATGCTCAAGATATATCTGCTCCTGTGGGGATTTCCCATTCGTTTTTTCTAGAATATAATGAATAAGAGTTAGTTTCCCCAGCCGAACCACCGGGTAAGGCGCCAGCTAAGAAACGTGGGTGTTCCAACGCCGGGCAAGCAGGCGAAGAAAGTAAAAAGCTTCAGCCCGCGCCTGGGGCCCAGTCAGCCTTCCGACCCGGTTGTTTCAGCCTTCGTAGACATCAAAACATATTTCGGTTGCACGAACAATCTGTCAAACAGTCAATATACCCAGTGTGCCTTTATTGTTCACTGCTTCGAATCATGCAATGCAGCCTTCCGCCCAATGTCCACCAGATGCATATGCGTTTTGTTGGATGTCTGGCCCGCATTTTCTGTACTTGACACACATGTGCTTCGATTTCATCTAGCTAAAAGCTAGCTAGTTGGAGTCTGTGTGTGTACTTTCGTTTGTACCACCGTACAGTAAAGCAACGCAAGTTGAAAATATTGAACGTGCGGCACACCCAAAGTAGCGCTGCGGACTGCTCCATTGACATTGAATGACTTCCACCTGAACGCAAAGAGTTTGATATATCTGGTGGGTGGACATGATGAGGCATTCCTCTATCAAGGCGTGCATAGCAGGCATTCAGTTCCATCTGCGATGTCAGGATCCTTCTGGGTCTAGTCGGCTGGGGAATTCAAATCCATCTACTCCTCAATGGGCTTCAGAAAGAGCGATCTTCAGGCAATTACAAAAGATTACACTATCACCCTCACTCTATTGCAAAAAATTGTTTCACGTTAAGGAAAGGGTGTTTCACCTCGTACAATGATATTTTATTAGAGCACTGTCTTATGGCTTTCTACAGGTTTTTACGGTGTGGGGAATACACTTCGTATTAATTTCCCTTTAATCCATTGCATGATCTCACGATTGCTGATTTAATTATAGACACACACATGTTCTCCGTATTGTTAAAGTATTCTAAAACTGATAAGGGGAAAGGTACTCCAGTTGTCATTGCTCGAATTTACACTGCTTTCGGTCCTCTCTGTCCCATGTTATGCTACCTGCAATGCCGAAAACTGGCCACGCCAGGCAATCCATTATTTATCACTGATGCTGGGGTAACAGATGTTCAGCAAAGACAAGAAGACTGGTCTCAGCCCCAGTGTAACAGATGTGATCGTACTTCGTAACTCGTGCATTGTGTTTTTAAAGAAAGAACTGTCCAGCCAGTAATCCCAGTTGATTGGTGTTTATTCTGACGATAGACACAAGGAGGCACATTAGATGTGCAGGACAATAGTATGTTGATGGCTATAGATTCGTGATTCGTCTGTTAGCATGGAAATAACTGAAATAGCAGGGGCTAATGTGACCATTATAGAGCATGCTAGCTAACTCACTCTTACAGCAATTACATACAAAAGCACATCCCAGGATGCCCCCAATATCTAACAGGTACCGTACACACACGCACATACAGTGGGGAGAACAAGTATTTGATACACTGCCGATTTTGCAGGTTTTCCTACTTACAAAGCATGTAGAGGTCTGTAATTTTTATCATAGGTACACTTCAACTGTGAGAGACGGAATCAAAAACAAAAATCCAGAAAATCACATTGTATGATTTTTAAGTAATTAATTTGCATTTTATTACATGACATAAGTATTTGATACATCAGAAAAGCAGAACTTAATATTTGGTACAGAAACCTTTGTTTGCAATTACAGAGATCATACGTTTCCTGTAGGTCTTGACAGGGTTTGCACACACTACAGCAGGGATTTTGGCCCACTCCTCCATACAGACCTTCTTCAGATCCTTCAGGTTTCGGGGCTGTCGCTGGGCAATACGGACATTCAGCTCCCTCCAAAGATTTTCTATTGGGTTCAGGTCTGGAGACTGGCTAGGCCACTCCAGGACCTTGAGATGCTTCTTACGGAGCCACTCCTTAGTTGCCCTGGCTGTGTGTGTTTCGGGTCGTTGTCATGCTGGAAGACCCAGCCACGACCCATCTTCAATGCTCTTACTGAGGGAAGGAGGTTGTTGGCCAAGATCTCGCGATACATGGCCCCTTCCATCCTCCCCTCAATACGGTGCAGTCGTCCTGTCCCCTTTGCAGAAAAGCATCCCCAAAGAATGATGTTTCCACCTCCATGCTTCACGGTTGGGATGGTGTTCTTGGGGTTGTACTCATCCTTCTTCTTCCTCCAAACACGGCGAGTGGAGTTTAGACCAAAAAGCTCTATTTTTTTCTCATCAGACCACATGACCTTCTCCCATTCCTCCTCTGGATCATCCAGATGGTCATTGGCAAACTTCAGACGGGCCTGGACATGCGCTGGCTTGAGCAGGGGGACCTTGCGTGCGCTGCAGGATTTTAATCCATGATGGCGTAGTGTGTTACTAATGGTTTTCTTTGAGACTGTGGTCCCAGCTCTCTTCAGGTCATTGACCAGGTCCTACCGTGTAGTTCTGGGCTGATCCCTCACCTTCCTCATGATCATTGATGCCCCACGAGGTGAGATATTGCATGGAGCCCCAGACCGAGGGTGATTGACCGTCATCTTGAACTTCTTCAATTTTCTAAATAATTGCGCCAATAGTTGTTGCCTTCTCACCAAGCTGCTTGCCTATTGTCCTGTAGCCCATCCCAGCCTTGTGCAGGTCTACAATTTTAACCCTGATGTCCTTACGCAGCGCTCTGGTCTTGGCCATTGTGGAGAGGTTGGAGTCTGTTTGATTGAGTGTGTGGACAGGTGACTTTTATACAGGTAACGAGTTCAAACAGGTGCAGTTAATACAGGTAATGAGTGGAG